AGAAAGGAAGGAAGGAAGGAAGAAAAAGAAAAAAGAAAAAGATTTTCAGTTCTCACAATAAATGAAATAGTGTTCTCATTTTAAAGATAATAAATTTGAGGCGTAGAAATTTTGATAACTTGCTAATTATCACAGAGTACTATATTCTCTCATGCATTGTTGAGCCGAGCATCTGTAAGTGTCCTCATACAGACAGACAAGAAGAGAACAGTGGCAGCAGGTGGTAAAGCAGCTGAGGAAAGAAGAAAGAAAGAAAGACAAAGAGGAGGAAGGGAGGAATGAAGTTACACACCAAAATGTTAATAGCAGTTTCCTCTAAGAGGACTAATTACATTATTTTTGCTTTTCTCTTCTAGTTTCCTATGTTTTCAGAATATAGTGTAAGCTACTTAATAATTCAAAAAATAAATATATGTCCTTAAATAAATCCAGCTTTCAGTTTGACTTCTTACTTAGGAAACTTATACGAAGTTAACCTCATTACTAATTCTCATTCCTAATCATGAAAATTATTGTCACGAGTTTTATTTTATTAGCTCCAAAATTGAATTCTTATAAAACTAAAAAAAAAAATAGTGCAGAATGATGCTATTTCAAACTATTTCTTGTTTAAATATCTTCAGTGCATTTTGATTTATAACTTTACATCTTTGCTTTTAGTCACAGTTGGCATGACAAGCAGCAAAGGAGAGAAAGCCGTTTTGTTTTGTTGTCTAGTCAAGAGAAACAAACAAAAAAATCCAGTCTTACATATTGTGTTTGAATTATCTCATCAGGTGTTATAAACTAGCAATAATACAGAAACTTCAAAGTTTGATGTTTACTCACTTTGCTAGATTAGTTAATTAGATTTCAATTGATGTGGGAGAAATTTGTCACATCATTATCTATGAAGACATGAAATGGAGTCAACATGTTTTATATACAACCAGAGATATGAAAAATTGTGCTGTATATGTGTAATAAGAATTGTAATGCATTCCGCTGTCATTTATTTTTTAATCAATAAAAAGTATATATATATATAAAAAGAGATTTCTGTTTTTACCCAAACACACCTTTCTATTTCCAGGACTGAAGTCCCTTGTAGAGACCCTGATCCAGTGCTTGAAGAAACTTTTTGGTGCCATTATCTTAACTCTGTTTTTTCTGAGCGTATTTTCTCTAATTGGAATGGGACTCTTCATGGGCAACCTAAAGCATAAATGCTTGCGATGGCCCCAAGAAGATGAAAATGAAACCCTGCACAACCGAACTGGAAACCCATATTACATTCGAGGTAAGAATCATCTGCCATCTACATCATAAATGAAAACAGAATAGTTTGAACTCTCACCTTCAGGACAAATTATTTAAATGCTGTAGCTATGTGAAAGATTAATTTGAGTCTGCTTTGCTTTTGTTTTTGATTTTATCAAGATAGCAAAGTTTCAATCTTCAGTGAGTTAACCTAAATTTTCAAATATTATTATTTAAAATAATATGTCTAATTTTCAATTTTATCAAAAACAGATTAAAGTATGAGCCTCATAATATTTACATTTTTCAATAATTTTTTAAAATATAAACTTGATCATTAAAAATTTTGAGATGACTTAAAATTAAAAAGTTTTCTTATATTGTGAATTCTTACTATGTTTGATTTCAATTACTATTGCACATTTAAATTAAATACTTTTGGTTCTACTTTTTTAAGTAATGGAAATATTTTAGTCATAAAATAGTAATGCAGGACAATATTGATTAGCTCTAATGCATAAGTAATTCATATGTCCAGTCTCATATATTCATCATAATTTTTGAGATAATACAATATCCACTGCCTGTTGCAAAAAAAATGAAATAAAAATGCAGCGAAATTAAGCCTGTGTTCTAGGGCACTGTAACTACAAGGTAGTAAAACTAGAATTGTGTCCAAGCTCAAGCTGCCTTTAAAATCTGTTCCATTTTCACCAGGTCATGCTTCTTTACTGCATTTTTCTCTCATATTAAAATTATCAAGTTCTTCCTGACATTGTTTATGATAATAAAAACCTAGTTTTCAACCATTATGAATAATATATTAATAAATGTCATGTACCTGTGCTATATTAATTTACTTATATTTTGAATTTAGTAAGTTCTAAAGCAAATCATAACAACTTTCATATGATTATGATGCAAGTAACACAAAATTATTAGAATATGAGTTTGTGAAATGTTTGAATATTTGTATCTATGTCATCATCCTAATTCTAGTATTGAAGACAAGGAGAGATGAAGCTTAAATCTTAGATTTTAATTGAAATTCCCATTGCATTCTTTGATGTTGTAATAAAAAATATGCTAATTACCTGAAAATAAACAATTTTGCTACTTGTCTGGTCACTGCTAAGAAAATAGATCCAGGATTCTTTTTATCTTTGTTAAAAAACACTATTATGGGGTTGCAGTTGTGTCTCAGTGGTAGAGCTCTCCCCTAACACTCATAAGCCACTGGGTTCGATCCTCAGCACCACATAAAAATAAAATAAAGGTCTTAAAGTATGAACACCTACAGCTAAAAATACATGTTTAAAAAATTATAATTTTTAAATATAATTTTAAGGATTATCACTTTAAAATCTATCCAACTGTATTTATTTCATTTCCTCAAATGACATGTTAAGAACTGCAGAAAATATTATGTTCATAAAACCTTTTCAACCCAATTGCCATATCACAGTTCTTGCATGTAGAATATTTTATACCATTTATTGCTACTAATGTCAAATTTCATTTGCTTTTTTTGACTGCCAGCCAAAAAACCTAATCAATGTTACTTAGGTATTCATAACTTCAAAATTATTCTAAAATTATTTTAGGTGGCAAATTAAAGTCATATTAGTTGTATTAGGGTAATTTACACACACACACGTCTGTCCACCCTTCCATCCATTCATCCCATAGGCTTGGTCCATATAATTTCAATCTAGAAACTAAAAGCCAAAGCATGTTCATACCATGCAACATGGTATTTACTATCTACAAATACACAATTTATATTTTATACATTTTGATTAACAGAAGATGTTAAGATATCTGGATACATTTTGTGCACCATGATTTATATTAGCAAGGATTGTGGTTGAAATTATGAGATATTATGACTAGTAGATGGCACTGTATGACCAATGTAGTAGAATCAACTTCAAGGTAGGAAGAACTCATAAATTAAACCCAGGGACAGTGGAATCTGGACTTCTTGCTCACATAGCTCATCTGGAATAAACCTTGGGGGAAAAGGTCTTCAGTTTTCAAACAATATAATCTTGGAAATTTTTCTTCCTTCAGAACTCTGGTCAGACCTGGCAATTTTATTGATTTTTCCTGAACTCTAATTTTGAAAGGAATTTTCCCCTTTTTGTACCGAGCTTATCACTACCAGGGCAGTGAAACTTCACATCCTCAAAGGCCTTTTGACATGTGCATCAGATGGTAGGTAAAAAACATCAGGATACTTGCTGCTTCGTTTTCAGCTGTAAAGTGGTGCTCATCTTCTATGGAGGTCTAAGTAGCTACTAACACAAGATCAGGTATAGAACATGATGTCTTTCTTATCTTACAGAAACAGAAAACTTTTACTACTTGGAAGGGGAACGCTATGCTCTCCTTTGTGGCAACACAACAGATGCTGGGTGAGTGGTGCTAATGTTTTCTTCTATCAAGTCAGGAATATCCATCAATAGTACTTATTGAGTGATCATTTCTTTTATCACTGCTTCCCAGTTAATTACATTATCTCATTTTATTATCAAAGTCAAACTAAGAAGTTCTCTTACTCCCTTTGGGAGGTATATAACAAAATACTGCAGACTATGCAGCTTAAAATCAACGGAAATTTACTTCTTACAGTCCAGGAGGCTGAAAAGTTCTGATCAAAGCACCAGCAAATTTGTTATCTGGCAAGGGGCCACTTATTGGCTTATAGATATGTCTTTTTGCTATAAGACATTAATCATTTTTATGAGGCTTTGCTCTGACCTGAACATTTACTATAAACTCTACCCCTTAATGCAACCACTTGGGAGGTTAGAATTTTAGCACACAGATTTTGATCATATCAAAAGTATACATATGGTGGTAATAATTCAGTTACAGAAAGGCTGCATTCAAGGTCAAAAAGCTAACAGATTGAAGAGCTAGAACTTCAACTAGGGTCTGATCTTCTGTTTCCAGTGTGCTCTTACCTTAATGAGATTAAAAAAAAATACCAAGAAAGACAATCTAAATCTGTTCTTTGGCTGGAAGTTTTTAAAGAACAGACATATTAAAGATGTGCTGTCATTTCACTTTTTATGTCTTATATGACTTTTAGGGTTAGAATTTACCTTAATAGTGGGTTGGGGCTGTGGCTCAGCCGTAGAGCGCTCGCCTCACATATTATGCAAGACCCTGGGTTCAATCCTCAGCACCACATAAAAATAAATAAATGAAATAAAGGTGCTGTGTCCAACTACAGCTAAAAAATAAACATTAAAAAAAAGAACTTACCTTAATAAAATTGTTATTATTGAAACACTATTTATAAATAATTGATTAGTGAGATAACAAAGTTTTCATGTCTTATATTCCTATAATTTCAGATGGAGCAAATAAAAAAGTAGAAACAGGGCACTTTTCAGCATTGTTGAACTTGTGTGATCTCCCTGTGTTACTTTGTGTAGTTGGAATGACTTGACTTCTATCCACAGGCTTAACTCTTTCTTAGGATCTGGGGCCTATATACACAAAAGGCATAATTTCTGGGAAGTAGCATAAGTGTTATAGCTTAGTTAAGTTCGGGTGATTTAGACATTTTGTCACCTACTCAGCACAAATCATTGCATCCAGTACTGCTGGGCTTCCATATTATTCTCAAATTGAGCCCAAGAAACCATCTTGTATCTGTACATCCTACTTCAACTAGCTCTTCTTATGTACATCCCTAACTCAAATACCTGAAATGAATTTGAAGGTACCTGGGGATTAATATATAGAACACAATGATATATTTCAAGACAAGAAGACAATATCATGGGATGTTTCACTTATACTGATCTTACTTGACTGCGTGGATAAACTACCTCATGAGTTAGTGACTAAATATAGCAATAAAAAGCTGATTTGTTCATATTCTGCAGGTCTGCAATTTAGAAAGCCTCAAAGTTGTGGCCCATTTGCAGAGTGCTTGCCTCACACATGTGAGGCACTGGATTCGATCCTCAGCGCTACATAAAAATAAACAAAAAAATAAATAAAGATATTGTGTTCATCTATAACTAAAAAGACTTAAAAAAACCACAAGTGCTCTTTAAACAATACTGCTTTGTTCCATTAATGAATATTAAAATGTATGACGACTAAATTCAAAATATTGTGGGAGGGAACTATTCAAGAGCTTGGCTAGAGAGAAGTAGGACTTATTGGGTCACTACTGTAATAATCTACCACAACATAAAAGTTTGAGGAGTCCCTAAAAGGAAAGAAAATTAATATTTAATCTGATTATTCTCCCCAAGTGCAAGTTCTGCTTATCAATTATTGATGTGATAAATGTTTTCTCACCCTTAAATAGCAGGATCTAAGAGTTTGAGGAGAGAGCATTTGAAAATTAAACTCTCCATCTTGGCATATTTATTTTATCAGTATCATTTTCTAACAGCTGTACTTTCATTTTGACTTTTTAAATTTTGGATAGCAAAGATAGAGTTAACACTATATTGTTATATTCTTGAAAATTGCCAAGGCATTTGATTTTTAAGTATTCTCACCATAAAAAATAATAAGTATGTGGGTAATACATATGTTAATTGGCTTGATTTAGCCATTTCACAATGTATACAGATTTCTAAACATGTTGTACCTGTAAATGAATACAATTTTTATTTGCTGTTTATAATAAATAAATTGATGCAAAAAATACAGTCTGAAAAATCCATTTTTTTGGAACCCCTTTTTATTTTAGCTTGATTAACAGTGTTCATGTGTATCAACTTAAAATCATATGCATTGTTTTGACTATACATTTTTGGAGAGAAGACTAATTCTTGTGGAAAGGGGAGCCCATTACCATTCATGAACAGATGTTTTATATTTATGATTTGGCTATAATCTGAATGTCACCTAAGAGTAAGCAGTTTTTCTTTTCTTCATCTCCTTTAGTCAGTGTCCTGAAGGATATGTGTGTGTAAAAGCTGGCTTAAATCCTGATCTTGGCTACACAAATTTTGACAACTTTGGGTGGGCTTTACTTGCCCTATTTCGATTAATGACTCAGGATTACCCTGAAGCACTTTATCACCAGGTAAGAACAGGGAACATGTTCATTACCCTTAAAACTGGGCCAAGACCTCTCTTCTAAAATAATGACCAAATGTAAAAAAAAAAAAAAAAACAACTCATTATATTTTGATGTAGAGAATAATTTAAAGACAGAAGAAAAGAGAACCAGAATCAGTGAATGTCAAATTCTAAACTGGCTGTCATGCCAGGTCTGCTTTTGTAGGTGATATCTTATTTAATCTTTAAAACAATTCTAAGAAATCAGTACACACTGTTCCCAACTATGATGGTTTCATTTAAAATTCTTTCAATGGTGTTGACATGATACAAATTAAGTAGAAACCACACTTCAAATTTTGAATTTTGATATTTTCCCCAGCTTGTGATTTGTGGTTTGAATACTTCATGCTGGGCAGCGGTAGCTAGATACAGCTCCCCAGAGGGCCATGCCATCAAGGGGGAAACAACCAATACTGTATGGTTGTACTGTGGTGTTAGGCTATGCAGTTCAGTAGGTTGGGTGTACTAAGTGTCACATTTAGGACTTGTGATGCTTTCAAAGTGTGATGAGTTAATTGCGAAGTGATCTCATCTTAAGTTGAGTAGCACCTCTGCTTTTTATGAGACACTGAGATTCAGATAGACTAGGCAATCTTCCCACATCAGATGTCCCTGCTAGAGCTCGCTCTCCTGCTCCAAAGCCTGTGATATTTACCCCTTTGATACTAATTAACATCATTTCTAGATATTTCTCTAGTCAAAATATTTTAAGCCTATGAAATTACCATGTATTAAGCAAATATTTTGAATGCAAACAGTGTACTGTTTCTTTTTATTCTTCTATTTCATCTCATTACACTTTGATACTAATTCTTGCTCCAGTTACAATAACAGAAGGCTTGCTCCTATGAGATTTAAACTCCAAATTCTAAGAATTCATCTTCAGACCTAATTATATATGTGACACAGATTCTCAGAAATGTACAATATTCATTAAAATGGAGGATCGGTTTTTCTTTAATGATAAGTACTATCACATTAGAAAATGAAAATTAATTTCAAATCAACATAGTTAATAGCAAATATAGTAAACTAGTACAAATTACTCTAAATTCCGAAGGTATTTATTGGTCATAGAGACCATTATTTTTTCAAACATCCACATATGCCACGTGTGGTAGTGCACATCTTCAATCCCAGCTACTCAGGAGACTAAGGCAGGAGTATGACAAATTTAAGGCCTGCCTCAAAATAAAAAAGACCCTGTCTCAAAATTAAAAATAAGGACTGCAACTCATGGTGGCAGGTGCTTGGAATCCCAGCAACTCAGAAGGCTAAGGCAGAAGGATCACAAATTCAAGGCCAGTCTCAGCATCATAGTGAGATCTTGTCTCCCAAATAAGTAAGTAAAGAAGAACAAAGGAGCCTGGTGTGGTGGCATATTCTTATAATCCCACAGGCTCAGGAAACTGAGGCAGGAGGATCTCAAGTTCAAGACCAGCCTCAGCAACTCAGCAAGGCTCTCAGCAACTTAGAAAGAATAAAAAAGGGCTAGGGATATGACTCAGTGACTAAGCACCTCTGGGTTCAATCCCTGATAACAACAACAAAAAAGGTGATTTACTTCAGTGGTAGAACATCCCTGGGTTTGATTACCAGTATCAAAAAATAAGAATAAATAAATAAATAGGGCCGGGGGTGTAGCTTATTGGGAAAACACACCTGGATTTAATCCCTAGTACTGCAAAGAATAACAAAACTTACACACATCCTATGCTTAGTTTGATTGACAAGATAAATTATGGGAAGTATTGTACATATATATGTGTCATTAATAATGATATAATAATGTATTTTAGGCATGAAGGTTCAAAATATATTATCAAATGAAAAACAAATAGACTAAACATACATGTGATATAATTGCATTTGTGACAAAAGAAATACAGGAAAATATTACAAATGATATCTTTTTCTTTAAAAAAACTGTTTTTCAAATTTTGCTAATTTAATATTTTTATTGTTATCTCCTAACATTTTTGACAAGTATTGATGCTTTTTCCATAATACCAGGAACTTTTTATTTCTAAAATAAAATTGGCATGTTATCCTCCTTCTAAAATTCCTTTAGTGGTTTCTAAATGTCCATGGAATGAAGTTCGAAGTCCCTGTGCATGACACATAGCGCCCCTTCAGATCTAGTTTCTACATACTCGTCCAGATTTATCTTTTGGCAATATATCAGTATGTATTATCTACTCTGTTTGAGTATATATATGTACATATATACTTTTTATATATTTATTTCTCCTAATTATATTTCTCATAATTCCTTGTTTCCATAAAGGATGTGCCCTATGCCTAAATTTTAGTCTCCTATTATCTGCCTTCAGTCTCTTGCTACAAACTCATACAATAGGTACACAATAAATGATAGCTACACTGTTAAACAGAACTCTATTCCATAATAGTGGCCCCTATTTTGTTCATTTCTGTTCTCCCTAAATTAATTAAATTATTTAATTCATCCTTTTGTTTTGAAGTATATATTTTATATCATATATATATATATATAAATTTTTCTTTCTTCAAGTAGAGCCAGTACTTAAGCTGTCTTGTGATAATACTGTACTTATTACTAGATTATCATATTACAATTTCATTGTTCATTTTAAAATAGGAGAATATAGAAAGATGAGTAACATGTCCTCCTTTTTTCCTGCATTGTACTTCTTCTTAGATTCTTTATGCTTCTGGGAAGATCTACATGATATTTTTTGTTGTGGTCAGCTTTTGGTTTGCCTTTTATTTGGCAAGTTTGTTCTTGGGCATACTTGCCATGGCCTATGAAGAAGGAAAACATGCAACTGATGAAAAATCTAAGAAGGAACCAACATTTCAACAGCCTATAAGCAAACTTCAAGAAGGAAGCGAAGAAGCTGAGGTATAACTTTTTTATGCTTCTGAGAATCACAGTTCTGGAGGTGTCTTCTCAAGGTCTTGGAATATATTGCTTTCTGATAGGTGCCCTTATCTCTGTGTGAATGTGATCAAAAAATCAAAATGGGTTTCATAACAGGAATTGAAATATGAATTTCCTTTCTTGATACATTATAATCAGAATGACCAACATGTTTTAATATTTAATTTGTATGCTTTCTATTTCAAAATTTACATTGCTGCTGCTGCTGAACTATGGAGATTATATGTCTTTAGAACTGTAAGTCTCCCAATACAGCTACACTTTACTGATTTAAACTTGGTTCACAGAGAACATCAGAATTAACTTTGGAAAATGCCTATGTCCAACTTAAAAGTGATAGTCTATCATAACTTAGAAAGTATGAAGCACTAAAAGAATGGATAAGAACACAGTACCAAAATCACAGAAAGAGAAAATTTTTGACTTTCTACTTCCTTCAAAGAGGAAATAAACTGTGCCTCATAATTATAGGGAATTAATTTACCCATGTAATAATTAAATCGTTCAGTAGTAAAAACTAAAAATATTTTGCCCTAATTTTTAATTAATGTTGCATTTGAATATTTTTCCAGGTTACTAGCCTCATAGCAAAAAATTTCAGTCTGTGAATTTGAAAGTCCCGATGGAGTAGCATTAATGAAGCTGTGGGAAATCAATTTTAAAAATCTTAATAGTGCTAAAAGTGTGCTAAAAAGAAAAGGACTGAGGGGGCTGGGGCTGGGGCTCAGTGGCATGTGTGAGGCACTGGGTTTGATTCTCAGCACCACATATAAATAAATAAATAAAATAAAGGTCTGCCAATAACTAAAAAAATAAAAAGAAAAAAAAGAAAGAAAGAAAGAAGGAAAGAAAGAAAGAAAGAAAGAAAGAAAGAAAGAAAGAAAGAAAGAAAGAAAGAAAGAAAGAAAAGAACTGAAGAAAGCCACCAGAAATACTTTTTTGTTATTTTTCAGGAACTCTCACAGCTCTTCCCTTTTCTAGGAGATGAGAAAAGGGTCTTGATTAAAGCAGAGGACAAAGCATAGAGAGGAGCCATACCTGGAAACTCTTCCATATTAAGCTGATAAGACACAGGGAAAAGGAAAGAGCCAACATATACTCTGACACCAAACTGGATGTGGAGGGCTGGTAGTGTGGTTCATTAATAACAAAGTTCCCTTCTAAATCCAAAAGGGGGCAGTGTTAACTCTCCCAAAGATATAGATGTTTTGTTAAGCCACCATTAGTGGTAGAAGCTCCAGAAAATCACCATACCCAAAGGTAGAGCCTAAATGACAGGATGTGGGGTCATATCCAATGGCTTGATAGATAGTTGTGTCTGTAACACATGTACCCTTGAACAAGAAGCAATTATGAACTCTGTGAAGAAAACATGTATAAAAAGCAGGCTATTAACACTCATGAGTAAGTCACAGAAAAACAAATTACAGAAGCTGTTTTTGTCCAAAAATGAGTCCCAGGTCCTTCGGATTGAATGATTAGTGTCTGAATGGTATGCTGAATATGTAATTTGTTCTGAAGTGGCATTTCAGGATCTCAAGGACTTGTGGGTACCCACAAATGTATCCAAGAGTAGAACAATAGTCCTCTTATCCCAAGATGAAATGCTCTATTAGCTCTGATTATGAAAGAACTGAATATTTCCCAATATCTCCTCTCAGTTTGCTACTTGGGATTATATAAAGCCTTCCTGGTTTTAATTAAAATCTTTCAATTTTAAAGATCTTCTTTTCCTGGAAGATGCTTAGAACTTTTGGTCATTCAGGGTTCTGGGAAGTAAGAGTTAAAAAAAAAAATTCTTAAGACTTATTTTATTTTATATAAAATAAAACACATCCAGAGAAGAATCTAAAATGTAATATACCAAGGATTCTTTAGGTGACTAATGTGATTAAAGAACAGTTAGATTCCAATTCCAATGCTGGAATTATAGGGAGATGGATTAGATTCTTCATATTACCATATTATAGGAAAGATGCAGGTCATATTGCTATCAGATAAATATGTAGATTTATGTATTTATATAATAGGTTTCAATTCATTTCAGCCACTTAATAGATGTATGATATTTGTGAAGTCCACTATCCTTGCTAAATTTTTTTATATATCAAATATATATGATTACAGTATCTGTCTTATAAGTAGTTGGAATTCCAAATGAAAACTTTGTCATATTTAGATGATATTAGGCAACATAAAAATTTTATAAGGAAATATTAATAAAATTATAATAACATGTCAGTATCAAAGATGGCTTTTAACCATACTATCACACACAACAATCCACTTAAAACCTTGATCATTATAGAAAAAAAAATCTGTCTTCGAGTAAACCTCACATTTCAGATGTAGATTTTTATAACAATATAATATTCATACCATGTGACAGGTATTTTTCATTTACTGTGTGTCAAATTCTATGAAGATGATTTGTATATGTGATAACATTACCCACATGACAACCTTTTGAGTCATAGAAATTATCATAAAATCTTATATGAGAAAATTGAGTTTTAGTCTCCAAAGAAGAAAACATAGAACTAGCCACAATATAAACCCAATATTAAAATTCTTATAGTTGTACACTATCAACTTTAACTCATATGTAATAAAGATTATAAAGAGCCAATGGGCACCATTGTCCCAGTGAAGAAATGTTCATTAATACAAAATTCTTAAGTCTTTGTATGTTTGCATAATTAAAACAACATGAGCAATGATAATAGTAACAGCCAATAAAGTTAATCATTAGCCTGTGTGACAGATATATGACCTGTCCTCCAGAATTCTCAAGTTTAATCCTTATTGTTCCCACTATTAGTGTGATCTATACTCACTGGTATCAGGTTTCTCTAAATTGAGGAGAACCCATCATTCTCCACTTCTCTGCCTTTTCTGGAGGGCAAATGCTGAGACACTGTCATTCCTCCAGTTACACAATGTGCAGGTAAAACTTTCCTACTGTTTGCTACTGGCAAAACCTCAGGAAGAAAGTCAGACGCTTAAAACTGCAGTAAACCGGGTGCAGTGGTATATGCCTGCAATCCCAGCAGCTAGAGAGTTTGAGGTAGGAGGATGGAGAGTTTAAAGCCAGCCTCTGCAAAATCAAGGTGATAAACAACTCAGGGAGACCCTGTCTCTAAATAAAACACAAAATAGGGTTGGGGATGGGGCTCAGTGGTCAAGTGCCCCTGAGTTCAATCCCTAGTACTTCCAAAAAATAAAAAAATTAAAAACTGTAGTATTTTAAATATTTTAAAAAATATTTTCACATCTAAGCCGACATCATGTAGCTCAAGTAAGTAATTAATTTAAAGCATTATTCCAACTCAACTAAGAAATGGAGATGAAAAACTTTTAATAAATACAAATACAGTGTTTATCTTCATGAAGCTAGTGCTTCGTGGGGAAATAAACTATAAAATTGACACAAACATAAAATTGTATCTCTGGAACACAAAATGAGGGCGAGTAGGAAACACAATGCCCAATGTACATTATACTCTTGCTGAGATCCCAGTTAAATCTAGTCAGCCTTTGGTATATTCTTTTGCCTTTATTAATGAAAGATAGGAGAAAGAAGCACCTATTAAATTGTACTGAAAGGATACAGTATGTCTAATAAAGAATTGCATAACTCTATATACTAGAAGTGACCCCGTATCTTTAAAAAATAAGTCATATTAGAGAAAATAAATAAAAATCACAAGATAGTTCATAAAAATCAAAGATAGTTAATAAATCTCCCAAAGAAATATAGTATATTGACCTTGCTTGTATTTGATTTGAACAATTCAACTACAGTGGAATGTTTTTGAGCAATGAAAGAAAACTGAGTATGATCTAGGTGTTGGATATTAGAGAATTACCAATTTGCTGATCGTCTTAATGGTACTGTGATATATGTCTTTTTAAAAGGTTTCTCTGAAAATTATGTGATGTCTGAATTTTATTTTAAATATTTCAGAAAAAAAATAAAGTGAAAATAAATGAAATAAATTGTTGGGGTGGATACTGGATACATTGCTATTCATTGTATTATCCCCTGTTTTAAAAAACACTAATTCAAATAGGACAAGTCCAATAAAGCAGAGGGACATGGTGCTTTGAGAGCCTTTAATAAATGATGTCTGAGTCAGCAAAGGTTTTTATAAGAAACTAGCACTTGAGCAGAGAGGTGGAAGGGAGCATCCGCACTAAGGAGAAGCAGGGAGCAGGATGAATCAGAGGATTAGAAGGGCCTTTGTGGCTTCATGAGGAGAGCAAGTCCATGATGAGCAGGCCGGATATTCAGAGATAAGTGCAGGAAGTAGGCCAGTGTTCTTCCTTATTCATGTGTCTCCAGCAAAGAAAATTTAAACCAGTTATGAAAAGAAGAATCCTTGCCCCTTTTCCCAGTCTAATCATGATGTAGGGCTGTTTAAAGATCAGGCAAATGATAACTTTGATTTTGTGTAATAAGGAAATCAACTCTTAAATTAAAAAAAAAAAAAGCTAGTGCATTGTAAATAACTATATCCTTACTAGTTAGCCAAATTGTGGGCATTAATTCAATGTTTGTAAGAAGCTCAGTCAAGGTAAACATATTACTAACCTTGTATGTGGTTCATTCTTTTTATATTCTAAAATATCTTCATAGTTCAGGCCAAATTAATAAAAAATTGAGCAAATTAACAAAAAATTGACTATATAGCAGTAACATTCTTGATCTCACTTTCAACCCCTTTCACACATACTAGTTATCTTTGCTGGATAATTTATTTTTCATTAGTGCGATCCCAACAATTATTGTTGCTCTCTAAACAATAGCTCCATAAGAAGTAATTCCTGTGAATTTAGGAATTAATTGGGATATTCTGCACTATATTGCAAAATATCATATGTATGATAAAAATAACATAAAGTAAAATATATAAAACCCTGATCAAATTTTTCCTTTTGTTGGTTTTTATCTCATGGAAAATTAGAATTCTATACATTATAACTTCTATTTTGTGTAACCTTGTAATTCAGCTAAAATATACTTTCTGAAGAAAACACAATTTTAGTAAATAAACTAATCTCACAACCTGAGTTTTTAGCTTACCATTCAATTTATTTTTTCAGTGAGGAAATGAAGCTCTGTAGTCCCACCATGTCTGCCATTTTTCCTGGTGAAGCTCAGTATGCAGTATAAGTGGTTTTTAACTCCTCTAACTCTACTACTTAAGAAATTAAAGGATATTTGGCTGATACTGAATGAACTGAATATCATGACTCCATTGCTAGCTACTAGCCACTTCAGATATGCCACAGCAGAATTTGCCAACAAGAATATGATGGCTATGCATTATCAGTGAGCCTCAACCAATTTCCTCAGTGCTGGGGCAGCAGCAGCCCCCATGACTCCATTAAAGGGCAGTCTCATCTATCTACAGCACATTAACAAATACAGGAATATTGTCATTCTTTGTGCTTCCATTGTGAAAACACTTGGAAATCACTGCCATGCAATATCTACTCATTGTCAGATGAGTTCAATTTTGTACATCACTAGAAATATCTTTGGTCATTCTTGTGATTAATAGGAATGTGTAGAGATTGTAATATGTACATCAAATTGTACATCAAATCCTAGGACTTTTGAGCACCTTTCCCATACAAGAATTATTTCAACCTGTTAAAAAGATGAGCAAAGCAGAACATCACTTAAAAACAAAACAAAACAAAAAGCATTCCTCAAGACACATGAGAAACAGAAAGAAATTATACCTATCCCAGGCAACTCTTTAGAATTCATTCCGTTATCTGATATTCTTGGAGACTTATTTCATCATCAAAAACCCAAATCATATTATTTTATCAAGAAAACTTACAAGGGTATAAAGTTAACGTCTTTAAACAAAAAATTTAACATATTAGGAAAATATTCTTATTAATCAGTAGCATATTTACTGACTAGATATTTTATAATAATCTTATTGAATTTTCTCAGTTATGAATAATGCCACTAAAATCTACTAACATTTACTCTTTTTATAGTTTAGCTCATAGTACAAAATTTTACTGAATGCAAGTTATAATATTTGTTTCCCAAATAATCCTAAATCATTTTAATATTGCCAATAATATGAAGAACTACAAATGATAAAACCCAGAAAGTCTCCTGGAGGTTAAGAATCATCATTTTAGATTGGTGAGATACCTTCTCATAGTTAGAGTCTTGGACATGTAAAAGGTAGAAGCCAGTATTAAACTGATTTTCTTTTCAGAGTAAAACCACACAAATAGAAATGAAGAAAAGATCACCAGCTTCCATGAACACATCTTTGGATGTATTGGAAGAAGATACCCTCAGACATAAAGAAGGTAATGTGATCAAATTTTCAGATACTCATTGTGGAAGGTACTACTTCTAAGAGTCTCTTGTAAATAAATCCTGCTACCAGAATTTCTGAAGCAATAGCTTCCAAACCTTGGGTGGCAATAAACAAAATTTAAGAAAACTGTAGAATATGAGAATGAATGATACATACAAACTTCAAAAGCAAAGTGTCTTGAACATTGGAACTTACCATCAAAGAATAATGTGGAATTTTCTCTAAATCTTAATATGTTGAACTATTAAAATGTGACTAAAATTAGAAATTGGAGTAAGGCAGCTTGCCCTTGATAAAAGATTTGAACTGTGGGTCCACTTACATGTAGATTTATTGGAAGATTTGTGACAATTTTAAAAACCTTACAGGTGACTCAGGCTAAAAATATTGAAAAAATTAAGAAAAAGTTAGGTATTTGATGAAAGCCTGAAATGTGTACATAATGGTCTATTTATTGCTCAATACCATAAAATATCCACAAATCTATTATAGAAAGTTAAAATTGTCAAAACATGCACGTACGGATCTTACACGACCTTACATGCTATTTGCTGTTGAGAAAATGTAAACCAATGTAAAAATACAATATTAAATCATAACTGCATAAAATTAACTGTAGTATCTATTGTTCCAGGTAATAATCCTATAACCATATCCTGTTGCTATTGCATGAGCTCAGTTGGTAACACTTGCTGAGAATGTCATATGATGTTAATCATCTCCACATGAGCAGTTCCTCTCTCCAGTAAAGCGTATATCACAGCTAAAAGTGACTCTTGATATTGGTCAAATTATACTCTTATGTTTTGCATGTACAAATATGTAACAAAAAATCCCACCATTATATTACAAGTATAATGCACCAATAAAAATTTCAGGAAAAAAGTGATCTCTCATAGTTCTAGCATATATAATACATATACATATAAACTTTTCACTGAATGTTTATGTTATCTGTAAAGCTTCTGATCAACATGAGGCTATTGGTACTTAGGTCTGGAGCCAGTCAACTTAATTTGGGCTTTTAAAATTTTTTATCAGTGCATTACAGTTATAATAATATTTGGGTTTATTTTGACATAATCTTACCAGCATGGAATATAATTTTCCCCACATCAGGAGTTTTTAATGCACAGGTGTCTTTGTACGTAATCCCCACATTGTTCAAAGCTCAACTGTATTACATTAATATCTCAGGGTCCTTTCTAGACTCATCTCTAGTTTTTACATTTAACTGGCAATTCTTTATCTTGGGCAATACAGAACAACATTATTTGTAAACTGTATAAGTATAGAAATTTTAAATCATAATGTTCTCAATTATTTTATATTTATTTTCTTGGGAAATACTTCTATGTTTTTCTACTCGTATGTAGTTTGCCTCATTTTTATTTCAGTTTCTTTCTCCAGTAAAGCATTATCACAACTAAACTCATCAGGCATAAATAAAATAGGGGAAATTTATTTTTCTCTGTTTTATTTTCATATATAATATTTCTAATTAATAACTCCAAATCAGAAGTTTAGTTCTAAAACTCCCTTTGCAGACAAAATTCAATCATTTTCTATTAGTTAGTATTTAAACTATTTTCTAATGTTTAACCTTTCTATTCTTTCATTTCAGAACTTAAAAAATCCAGGAAGAAGTGCCCATTGTGTTGGTATAGGTTTTCCAAATTTTTTTTGATCTGGAATTGTTCTCCCTGTTGGTTAAAATTGAAAGAATTTGTCCATAGGCTCATAACAGACCCATTTACTGATCTTTTTCTTCTCATATGCATAATATTAAACATATATTTTTTGGCCTGGGAACACTATCCAATGAGTGATGACCACAGCTATCTGCTAAGCATTGGCAACTTGGTAAGATCTTCATTGTACATTATTTTCATTTGCAAATTCTATTTTTCTTCATTCTTCATTATCCTCATTATTTTATATCTCAAGTATTTGTAGCATGCATCATTTACATTATTATTAGATGATGTATTGTATTCATGCTCTGCCCTACACCCCCATTTTCCCATCTTGTAAATGTTCTGATCATTGAAAAAATTTACATCTGGAGTTTGAAATCCCATCATTTAAATTCATGATTCCTATAGCCAGGCATAGTAGCAAACACCTATGATCCTAGCAACTTGGGAGGCTAAGACAAGAAGATCAAAAGTTCAAAACCAGCCTCGGCAATTTAGCAAGGCACTAGATAACATAGGGAGAGACTGTGTCCTCAAAATAAAAAAATAAAAAATAAATAAAAAGGGCTGGGGATGTGGCTCAATAGTTAAGTGCTCCTGGGTTTAAAAGGAGGGAGGGAGAGAGAGAGAGAGAGAGAGAGAGAGAGAGAGAGAGAGAGAGAGAGAGAGAGAGAGAGATATTCCTACCCAGATGCTCATGGTAAACCTAATTGGAAATTTCTATTGCCTCTGCCTTCCCAAATATACATTCATTCACTTGGTACCTCTGTTCCATAGGTCAGAGTAGGTACAGGTGGAGTAACAGGCACTGACCCATGAATTCTGGATTCTGAATCCTGATTCTAAAAGTTCCTGGCTCACCTGTTCCTTAACCACCTGTCTTTGTCTCAGATTGGAGCCTGTAATTTTGGCAAGGTATTTTTGAGATTCACCTGTCCTTTTCCCACATACAATGCAAAATACAGAATGGGTTTCTGTGAGTTTAAAAACAGGTAAGATTTAAACAAATGTATACTGTTTAAATTTCTTTGCTTTCATTGTCAACATCTAGCTACTTGGTTCCAATTCAGACAAGACTACTACTATCAGTTTCAAATTATACATTTACTCAATATTAAAACATTAATTTGGTTATTTCTGCCAGTACAGTTTTTGTTTATTTATTTAGCCTGGGGATTGAACCCAGAGGCCCTTAACCACTGAGCCACATCCCCAGCCCTTTTTATCTTTTATTTTGAGACAGGTTCTCACTAAGTTCTTAGCATCTTGCTTAAAGTGACAAGGCTGGTTTTGAACTCATGATCCTCCTGTCTCAGTCTCCCAAGCCACCTTGCAAGTACAGTTTAAAAGACCATTGCCATAGGTTTACTTTATAGTTTTTTCCTAGATCATACATGTACTTTAAAAAAAATTCTCTCACAGATGGAAAAATTAAATTTCTTAAGATGTACTCCAGATTTTTAAAGAAACTACTCAAGAATGGAAAATTCCATTCTCAAATATTCTTTTGATTTCTTCAACACGAGTTTTTATTAAAATAATCAGAGATTCCATATTTAGGTACCTTACATTAAGTTGTTAAATAAAATGCACGTGTCTCTCATTATAGACTCTAAAACTAACCAGCTCTTGAGAGAGGAGCTGTAAAAAATGGGGGTGAACATTGATGTTGTATCTTAAAGCTTCTGTGCCTGAAGTTTCTGATGCAGATATTGGAATCATTCTCACCCACATGTTTTGTTTTTATTTAGGTTTTCCTTGGAATTTTTACAGCAGAAATGATTTTTAAAATAATTGCCATGAATCCATATTGGTATTTCCAAGTAGGCTGGAACATTTTTGATAGTTTAATTGTGTTACAAGGTTTAGCAGAACTTTATCTAGCAAATATTGAAGGATTGGCCCTTTGTCAATCATTCAGGATGGTAAGTAGAATCCAGTGCCTGATTTTTGTTTCATCAACATTTATCTCAGCTTCCTCAGACATTACATGAGTTGATTCCAATATAAAATGTTTGAATTAAATAGATGAATGAATTAATATATAAAGGACCTCATGGAGAAAAAAAGGCAATTCCCAACACTATTATTATAGAATTAAAATATTTAAGGCCACAGAGCTTTGACACACAGTGATAGGAACCAGTGCTAGGGTGTCTGGGTAAAACAATGACAAGTCCTGGAAGTGAAATTTCTACATGGGACTAAGAAGCTAGAATCAGACAAATGTTTCTAAATGTAGGATAGCAGAATTTATCTTAAACTTGTTTTAAAATGGTAGATTGTTAGTATGGAGATTATTACGTCTACAAGTAGGGAGATGGTGAGCATCAGAAAATTTTTCAAAGAAATAAATTGTATTAGAATAGCATTTATGGAAATGTTAATCCCCCAATAAATAGTTTTGTCCTACTCTGGAGAGAGGTTAAAACATATAGGAGGTATCGGAACAATGAAGCAGGTTGAGCTTCTCCAGATCATTACTTCCTAGAGGGTAGCTTTCTCAGAATCCTGCCTTAAATCCTCAACCATCAATGTCAGCGTAATAATAAAAATATATACAAGATGTAGTCATCAAATTTATGGGTGAAACAAGACTGGCAAATGCAGAACATGTTATAAAAGGTAGTATCAAAATATTTTAAGAGTTACTAATGAACTGAATCTAACATGGTTAAATTTTATATTGGTTAATATAAAGCCTTACTCTTGAGTCCAGAAAGCTAACCATATACTAGAAAAGATCGGAAGATATAGTTCATGTTATGTGTAGGTTTTAGATGACTCTAAGTACAGTATGCTAACTCTAGTTATAGTACCCAAAAATGTAAAGCTAATTTTATACTGTATAAATACAAATTTAAAAATCTAATAAAATAGAAGGATATTTAGACTAAACCTGGAGTGCTGCATTTGATCTTGGATATGTGATTTTTAAAATAAAAAATATACAATAAGATCTTCAATGTCAAAATTGAGTGGATACTGATGAAACTTTCCAGTGTCACCTGTATGTATAATGTGGAAAATTTTCCAATGCCTTTGAAAAGCAAAAAAAAAAAAAAAAAAAAGAGAATGGATACTTGTCCTACCAGATTTTAAAACATAAATCTATAGTGATTATAAGAGCACAATACAAAATTGGAGTTGACAAATAGATCAATAGAAAAAGATATAAATAGTGTACAAAATTACAGAATATGTTAAGATGCATTAAGAACTGTATGTAAAATATTCAGAATATTGATGATGTATGTTAATACTAGTTAATACTAAATATTACTTTAAAGGTGATAAATGTGTATGTGTATATGCATATAAAAATTTTAAATGTACATCACAATGAATAACAACCAGATTTTCTTGTTTGTTTCTTCTTATTGTTGTTGTTTACGTTGCTCTATTAGTTGCGTGTTTTCAAGTTGGGGAAATATTGGCCAACATTTGAAATATTGATGCTGACTCTTGGAAACTCACTGTCGGCCCTGAAAGACTTGATTCTGCTGTTGTTCACGTTCATATTCTTTTCTGCTGTGTTTGGCATGAAGTTGTTTGGTTGGAGTTACAAAGCATGTGTCTGCCGCATAGATGAAAACTGTCAACTCCCACGCTGGCATATGCATGACTTCTTTCATTCCTGCCTTAATGTGTTCCGAATTCTCTGTGGAGAGTGGATAGAAACCTTGTGGGACTGCATGGAGGTAGCAGGACAACCCTGGTGCATCTCTTTTTACATGATGGTCATTTTAATTGGAAACTTACTGGTAAGGATTCCATGCTTTTACATTTTCCTTGTAGAAATTGGTGTAACATAGCCTGGTGTTTTCAATGACCCAGTGGTCCATAACTGCATTGTTCAAAATAGAGACCACTAGCCACATGTGGCTATTAAGAGTTGAAATATGACTAGTTTCATTTGAGATGTGCAAGAAATTTAAAAGACACACTGGATTTGAAGTTTTCCCCCAAAATAATATAAATTATGTTAGCAATAATTTTTATTGAATGGATTTTAAAATGATGATTCTATTTAAACACTTTTAATTAAATAAGATACATTAGTAAAATTAATTTCACCTGTTTCTCTTTGCACTTATATATTTTTTGTTCAAAATTACATATGGGACTTGCATCATATTTCTTTTGGATAGAAATATTTTATAACCTTGCTACTAAAAGGATCATCAGTATCATGTGGGAGATGCTTAGAAATGCAAAACTCAAACCCCATCCTAGACCTCTGGAATGATAATCTATATTATGATACTAACCCCAGGTGATTTGTGTGCACATTAAATTGTAAGAAGCACATAAATATAACAATGTCTTTCAAACTCGTCTGCACATTAGAGTTACCTGGGGTATTAATGATAATAGGCTGATGCCTTGGATCCACTCCCAGAGATTCTGATGCTATTCATATGTGAATGTGGCTTGGTCATCAAAATTTTCTAAAAAATCTCACTTGACTAAATAGTGCAGCAAAGACTGTAAACCAGTAATCTATAAAAACGTTATGCATTAACTAAAAGAAGAAGGTTTCACTTTAAAATATTCTAGTAATTTAATGGGTGAATTGAATAAGTGGCTTTCTCTGCTTCTAAGAGAAAGGTGTATCTTATAAAAATGATTCTTACAGGAAAAAAAGACTCAATAATTGCTTTTTATGCATATGTCATAAAGATCAAATACATTTTCCAAAAGACTAGGAAAAATAAAATAAATCACAGGTTAGATTGAATTTTATCTGTGCCCTCCCTCATTGTTTCAGCTTCATCTTGTTTATCTCATTGTTATTTATTTATCACATTGGCATTGTATTTCTTGATGTGATTGTCTGTTTCCTTATTGAACTGTTAACTCCATGAAAGAAGGGGGCCATGGCACATCTCTATGTCACAAAACCTGAAACAGTGCCCAACATAAAAAATAATTTTCTCTGTCCTCTGTCCTCTGTTGCTATGAATACACTTCCAACACCCAGGGTCATAGAACACTATTCTAAATGGATGAAACAAAACCAAATTGATAGATCAGTACACATAATTCAAAATACCATTGCTAGATCTTGTTTCCATGGTAGTATGATGCAGAGGTTCAGATGGAGACATTATAGGCATGCTCTGCACCTCTGTGTTCTGCCATTCCTGTCCTCCTTGAACCTTGGTGTTCTGTGTCTTACCAAGACAGCTGCTGCAATCTAAAGCTTCACATATTCATATCATATTGTTTTAGACCGTTTTTTGCTGTTGAGTCTAAAGGATCTGAACAGAACAACTGTAGAGGAGGAAAAGTTTATTTGAGGGCTCATGGAGGTCTTCATCCATAGAAGGCCGGCTCCATTCTTTGAAGTTGTAGGTGAGGCTGAACATCATGGGACAGTGAACAGCTCCCATCATGGTGATCTGGAAACAGAGACTCCACTTTCCAGATACAAATATACACACCAAAGCCACATACTAATTCCCATCTCCTCCAACCATACTCTACCACTTCACTTACCACTCAGTTAACTCCTATCAGGCGATTAAGTCACTGATTGAGTTAAGACTCTTACAACTTGATCATTTCTCCTCTGAACCTTCTTGCATTGTCTCACACGTGAGCTTTTGGGGGACACCTTACATCCAAACCATGATACATATCTAGTCAATAGAGAAGAGAATTCCTTTATTAAAAGCCATAGTAAACTTTTATTATTTTACTAACTCTGAGTTACATGCTCTTTTCTGAACTAATCTCTATAACCCAGGGTGTAGAATACATTTATTACAGTAAACTACTCAGAGCCCTCCCTTCCTTGGAGGTAGAGATAGCATCAGTCCGAACCAAGGACTAATTAGAAAAGGGCAATATCCCAAGTGAAATGCAGATTTCTGTCTCTGAAAGGAAGGGCCATGACTGTTGAGAAAAGTAACCACAACCACAACAACAATAACACACACACACACACACACACACACACACACACACACACACACATGCACACGCACGCACGAACATGTAGTCCAAACTCAAAGAAGCAGAAATGCTGAAGCAAATATATGAACTCCACTCTGTTCTTTTCTTGTTTCTACTGACCAGAAACTTCAAGTCATGAACTTCCATTTCCAATTGTTGACCATCATATTTCTTCTTTCTATAAGTCCTTTAAGCTTTATTTCTTTCAGCAGTCATCCATCTCTGGGACACCATGATAACAGCACTAGAGCAAATACAAGAGGAAAAACAAATGAAAGGGGAGAATTAGTTGATTTTTTACCCTCCACACTTACAATGTAGATGGTGTAAACTGAAACTATCCTGCAGTTTTCAATTTAGTTTTGTCTTTTTCTCCTAATAAAATTCCAACATTGATTCAGAGCTACATAGAAACCTTTTAAACATCATATGCAAAGGCAAGAGTTCAATGTGGTTTTCAAAAAATGTTAAATTGTAGAAAAGTAGAATGCAAACCCAAACAAACATAGGTTTAAATTCTAGTTCTGTCACTTACTAACTAGTGCTTATTATGCATATTATAAAGCCTTTTTAAACCTGACTATATTTAATGGGAAAATGAACACAAAAATAATGAATGATTATGATGTTATCATAACATAAATAAAACAAATAAAATCATTTAGCATCCTATAAACAGTTTATGAATATTTGTTTTATTTCTCTATAAAATATCAACTTCAGATCTATAGATTTTGTTAATCATTTAACATTATTTAGAAGTTTAAATTCCTAATAGACCATTTTTCTTTCTAGGTGTTTTACCTGTGATTTAGATAGTTGCCACCAGGTGAAATATACAGATTGTGGTTGCATAAACCAAACTGTAAATAATAGAAATATGTAAATAAATTAAAAACAATACAAAATAGAGTTGCAATGTAATTCTAATCATGCACTATTCCATATATATGTGTATATTCCCAAATTAAATGTTTTGTTAAACTATTAGTAGAATATTAAAATAAAACATCTTCAATATATGTTAGAAGCCTTGATGCATGTTTATTTCTAGATTCTTAATCATACAGATAATTAGTTCACCAAATTTTTAATTCTATTTATTTTTCATATTATTTGATTTTGATATGGGCACTTAATTCTCACTCAATGTGTGGCTATCTCAAAGTGAAGACAGCCACCTAGAACAGCAACTCATTTTTTTTTGTCTTGAGAAAGACAATCTGACTGATAAAATAAGCTTTGGAATAAGACAGTCTTGAGGCTAATCCATGTGACCTTTGATGATATCTGTAAGCATTGTCTTTTTCATCTCTAAAGGAGAAACAAATCATGTTGCCCAGAATGTTGTGAGTTTACAACTAGAGTCCTGGTTACACAGACTCAGCACAACATCTGCCACAGTGAATAAGAACCAAACAGCCTGTAGACCATATGCTCGGTCCTCAAGTCTTAAGTCAGCCTTTTTAGAGGATTGCTTATTATTGTTTTAAAAGAAACACAACATGAGTTACACTTATGCTCCTTTACTGTTTTTTCTTTTATTTATTCTAATTGGTTATACATGACAGTAGAATGCACTTTGTCACATCATACATAAATGGAGTATAACTTCTCATTTTTTCTGGTTGTACATAATGTAGAATCACATTGATCAGGTAGTCATAAATGCACATAGGGTAATAATGTCTGATTCATTCCACTGTCCTTTACTTTTCCATTTAGGTACTTTACCTCTTTCTGGCACTGGTGAGTTCATTTAGTTCTTACAAAGACTCAACAAGTGAAGAGAACAATGAAGTAAAAAATATACAGCTTGCAATGGCAAGGATTAAGAAAGGAGTAAACTATGTGCTTCATAAAATATTGTGCAAAAAGCAGAATGTTCCACAGGAAACAACGGACCATGTAAATGATACATATGTTAAAGAGAACATTTCTGACCATACTCTTTCTGAATTCAGCAACACTCAAGTTTTCCTCAAAGATAAAGAAAAGAGCAGTGGCACAGAGAAAAACACAATGACTGACAATGAAAGCCAGTCACTTATCCCCAGCCCCAGTGTCTCAGAAACTGTACCAATTGCTTCCGGAGAATCTGACGTGGAAAATCTGGATAACAAGGAGATTCAGAGCAAGTCAGGCAATGGAGACAGCAGAGATGTAAGATGTTTTATTTTCCTGATTGCTGATTATGTATGGTGTTGATATGGTGTTGATAAGTTTATGCTGAACTTCCAGAGTTAGATTACCCTTTCAACCCTATCTCCCCCACACTTAGCTCCTGTTATTATGCTCTTGATCATATTACTTAAATCACACTTCTAAACTTTAATTTTTTCATCTATAGATGAGGATAAAGTTGTACTTCTTAAGGAAGTACAAGACTCAAGATAGAACTAAGAAAAATAGCCTAATAGCACAACCAAATATACCTTATATATCATAATCACTTACAAAACATTAACGTAATTGTGAAATTCTATAAATTAATAAGCAGACAGTGATGAAAAGCATACTAAAAAACGAAATTTGTAAAAATCAATGGGTATGATTGGAGAAGTCATTCAACTTCCCTGGGCTTTATCATCTTCAAGATATGAGAATGGATTAGAAGAGAGCAAATATTCTTTCTTGCTTGCTCAAATTCTAAGATACTACTCATTTTATTTCTGCAACATATAAAATAAGTAATTAAATTAGACTAAAAGAATAAGAAGAAAAACAAAGAGTTTGAATTATGAATAGGTGGTAGCTTTGTAAACCACTGGCTTCAAAAAAGAAAAGGGTTACATTTTGTAAAAAGAGCAGGTTTTGTTGGCTTAGTGTTTGCTCCCTTACTGGAAGAGTCTTATAAATCTCCATTTGCAAGTGGCATAATGACTTAACTAGAGTATGATCTAATAGAAAGCAAAACCTACAGGATCACATAATGTACTATGGGCTTTTTGCTTTGGACCTATGTGAGGAACATTTCAGTTTGCTCAAAATCCTCAAGAGGGAACAGAGAATGCCTTTTGCAGGGGTCCAACATCTCTACACCATTTTCTCCCCCAGAACTCTCCTGGCTTGACAGATCCTCTCCATAATTACTTCTCAAATTGGTATTTTAGAAAAATTGAATTTCACTTAAAAAGGATCTTTCTAGCACCTATTAAAGACAACTTTGTTTTAGTTAGAGAAACATTTTCTCCCCTTAACCTACTCAATATTCTCAGGTATATTTACATTTAATTAATACCATTAAAAGAAGACAGGAGAAATTGCTGCCAAAAACCCTACTCTAGCATCTCTGAAGACTTTGACTACCATTCATCTCTAGATAAATTCATATGGGCAGATTTCTGGAAACTTCTTGCAGCATCTTTAGAAAGTCTGGAGTATGAAAATACATAAGAAAGACTTAATGTAAAAATAAATGTAAGTGTTCAAATTTCAGATGTTGTCATGTATGCTACATGATTATTTAGTCCTATTTCTTGGTTAAATACTCACAGGAGATGTATTCATTTACTTATATGTTTAGTTATGCATATAATTTTATTAATCAGATTTCAGATTCTGCATCCAGTAAATATTTAATATGTTGATCTAAGAAAATCAGAGAATAAAACATAAAAACCACATGTGATCTGATAATTCATACAGTATTATTTTTATATTTTTGCTTAAAGTATTTTAATTAAGTTTTAATTAAAATATGTATTTATTGTAAAAATAATACACTTTACATCTGATTTTGTAACTTTTTCTATAACCTAGCAGTATATCATGGTCACTTTTATGCCATTAAATAATCTACCAAAATAAATTATTTGTTATTTTTATCTCGATTTATTTTTAAAACTTAGAAAACAGGGTTTTATGAAAAATTTACTTCAAGAAGTATGTGAACAAGGGTTTTAAAAACTCAAAAATATAATTATAAGGTGTACAACTATAACAATTGAATGCCAAAATATTATAGTTCTTTACTAATTTCCTATTCTTAGATAAATACATTTCTACAGTTTTTCCCATTAGAAATCAACAAAGAATACATAAAGCGAATTGAGACTTGAAATAACTTTTTAAAACTCAGTTTTGTTGGGTAACATTTCTCTAGATGCTTAATTTTGTTTAGTTGAGCACCATAATCATTTGCTGACAACTAGCATTGTAAGGATTAAAGCAAAACTTTCTGTTATTCATGCTTATTGGAAACCAAAAGGCATGATAAAATATTTATAATATTTGTAATTTCTTCTTTTGTTTGAGTTCTATCCACATCACACTGGCTTTCTTGGAAATGTTAGAGAATTTATATGCCATTAACTTTAGGATCATGGTGGTTTGTCGGATGATATGTTGTATATTTATTCTTAAATAAGGAAAAATGAAAGACTATGTGAAAATAATCTTAATTAAAGATAAAGCATGTCATTTGCATTATTATCATATGTACAAAGCAGTGATCACCTGGGTTTAGCCAGACTTGAACTTTAGTCAAGAGTAGAGAGGGAAATAAGGTTCATCTCTGCAACAAGGCTCTTTCCATAGGACTCTCCTATGTCTATCCTAGGTGCTACTCCTTGTGTCTTTCCCTCATTTTATTTCAACAGTAGCCTCATATCAGTCCCATCCACTGATGAGAAACACAAGACTGTCTGGACTTAATTTTACAATAAAAGCTATATGCATGGTTATCTATGTACATAGCATCAAGGAATGATTTACTTTGATGCTACTCATCTACATGAAAGAGCATATAAGCCACCCTTGTTAATAGCCTTAATAAAACTTTGGATCCCAAATTCTTTCATGAATTGGGTGATAGTTTATGCATTTTTGAACAAAATGTTATTACCTAAATGTTCATTTTAATCTAAAGTTATTGTAGCACACATTATTTGTTTAAAAACATCAACTCACACCAATAAATGCACATTTCAGTATCATGAAATTGGCCTAAAGTCTTTTAAACCTAAAAATGTTCTTTCTGTACATATTTTTTCTCACTTTTGAAAATGAATGAATGAAATGAACCTCAAATTAAACTCACAACTCTTTTGGTGGGTCTTTGTTTATTTTAGAAAATAAAGCAATCTAGCTCATCTGAATGCAGTACCGTTGATATTGCTATCTCTGAAGAAGAAGAAATGGTATATGAATGTGAAAAGGCAAAGTATCTTAAAAATGGTAAGACAGATGTTTCTTTGGTAATGTTATGGAAATTAGACTAAATGTCCCTTAATCTAAATAATACCATTGAATTGACTTTTAATGTAAAGAGTTTATTAATTTTGCAAAGGGATACAAATATTAACATGCATGAACACTGTCCCAAATCCTGGTAGATACTTATAAAATTTCAAGAAAAAAGTCAACATTGGAGAAAGGGGGATAGAGCCTATTTCCCAGAGAGCCTAATGTAATGGTTGCAAAGGTTGACTCTGGAATCAGACAAATGTGTACTATTTACTTATCTTCTCTCTGTTTCCTAATCTTCAAAATGATAAGCCCCCTAGGATTATTAAAAATATTAATTAAGTGTGCATGTGTGCATGTGTATGTACATATAATCTCAGAAGAGAAAGAGAACCTGACCCAAGGAAGAAGTAGCATTCAGTAAAATAACACCATCAGCAGCAGCAGCAGCATTCACTGAATTGTCTTATAGTTAATGTAGAAAAGAACCATGAGTAGTGGTATGGCAGTGAAATATTGTTTATGATGTTGATTTCATTGATTATGCTTTAAATCATATTAGGTAAAACTCATCATGTCCATATTTAATTTTACACTATTAATTGTGTACCTACATATATTAAAATAGAGCATGATTTAGGACTAAAACAAAAAATAAGCATAGTTAAATTAGCACTGGAAAAATACATGTGTGTATGTGTATTCACTGAAGTGAATGTGTGTGTGTGTGTGTGTGTGTGTGTGTGTGTGTGTGTGTGTGTGTGTGTCTGGGTGTCTGTGTATGAATGTTTGTATAGAAGTGGACATATTTACATTTTGAAGTATTTTTATACCTCATGGATTGGGGTCAATATTTAAAATATTCATGGAAACATCCCATAGATTTCATAGAAAAACAAATCATGATGATGACATACTTCTATGCTTCATATGAATATTAAGAAGTGTATACTATATGGTTCCAGTCAGTAATCTGACCCCCTAGGTATATAGAACACACCTTTCAATTACTTATAATTCAAATTGGTTTCTTAACAATATTAATGAATGATTACAAATTTGAACATTTGACATCACTGAAAAGTCATCGAAATGGAACTACTAAGTACTCAAATTTCTATCTTCAAAATAATAATCTGTTCTCAGCAGCTTAAATTCTAGGATGCTTATTATCTAAGACAAAGGAAGAAACATGTCCTATATTTTTTGACTAGAGATGTATAATTTGACTCTGAGGAAAATTGTAAAATTAAATTTAAATTTAATTTTAAATTCCAACTACATCCATTTCTTCATTTTCTCACCTATTAATCACTCCCCTTTTAAGCCTCACATTTTCTTTCTACAACTCTCTTGACTGGAAGGCAAAGTTCAGATTTAAACGCATACACACATCCCACAAAGTACTCCATAACCCTTGTTACCTCCTTAAACAGTCACAATCCAATTTCCCATGCCCATGCCAACCAAGAACTAAAATTGAAACAATACACTTTATTATATCTTTTTAACGTCTTAAAAGAATTTGTGTTTCTAAACAGGAATGTCACATGATAATCAAAATGCAATGTTCAGAAGATAATTGTAAAAGCAAGGAATTAGTTCTATTCTCAGATTGTCCCCCATAGTGAGGGGATGTTCTAAGTCACCCTGCCTTTTCCAACTCCTTTTCTCCTACTACTAATGAGCCAACAAGTTAAGCTTTTCTTTTTCTCCTTAGTGATTATGCACACTATAGTAAAGGTAACAATCAAATGTTCACAAATATGAAACCAGCTGTATTAGAATCTATAAATAAATAATTATGAAGGCATAGAGCAGAAAGTTTGAGATGTTTCTTTCCATGCATTTGCTACATGCTTGTTCTGAATGGTTTCATTCTTGACAGGTTTTGAACAAAGATCTTCACCTGGTCAAATCAGTAGAGTATCCAAGAAAGCAAAAATTTGGCAGAACATAAGGAAAACCTGCTGCAAGATAGTAGAAAACAGTTGGTTTAGGTGTTTCATTGGCCTCGTGACTCTGCTCAGCACAGGTGCCCTGGTAAGTGAGCCCACAGTTTGAGTGATGTTTAATGGGGACAAATGTTTCATAATTCTTGCTTTAAGAAAGTCACCTTGCCAGATTTATTTTCCCAGAATACTTATTACTTAGTACAGCACCAACTTTCATATTCTGTGATTTTAATTTTAGAAACTCTATGTTACACTTTCTTGGAAAGTTCATCAATGTATTATTTAATATGAATATTAAATTTAAGTGTAAAGATTTAATCAATAATGTCATTTCAAAATATATGAGTTATAGCAGGAAAGTAAATAAAAAAATACCTGATTCTCCTGATTTTAATAAAGTTTTAATTAATAATTTAGGTACTCAAAACTGTTATGTTGTTGTAGTACTATGGTTCCTATTCCACACCAGAAAGGAAGTATTATATGATTTTTAAGGGTCTTTGAACTGTGAATATATTTACCCTTTGACCCAAAGATCGTAATTCTGGAGTTTTATCCTACAAATATCTGAATATGTACTAATTGCATAAAAGAGGTTATTCACAGAAAGACTTTTTTAATAATAGTAAAGTTTGGGTGGGGAAAAAGTTTATAAGAGGTGAGAATTTCTAGTATTTTACAATGACCTCATGGATTACTGTGCAATTATTTTTATAAAATGATGCCAAATGCATACTGATACTGCAATACTCTTTGGTATGGTAAAGCAAAATAAGAAAGGTCTAGTATAATATGTAGTCATGCTGCATTTTATGTAGGAAAAGAAGAAGACTAGAATGTGTAGTGAATTTGGTTGCATTTGGTTAAAATAGGCCAAACTGAATATACAAGAACTAGTTAGTTGTGTGATACAGGGCAAAGACATTGAAGTCATGGTTGGGAACCAGACTTTGCAATGAATGTCTTTTCAAAGTAAGCTTTATATTGACATTTAACACACATTCTGAAGACTGTACTTCACATATTAGGTGTCCAGCATCAATGATCTACATAGAGGGAATGCACCTGTGTAATTGTCACTTGGATTGATAAACAGAACATCACTGAAACTCTAGAACTGTACTCTCACCCCTTGCAGTTACTTCCCCTCTCCAAGTGGTAGTCATTTTGTGGATGTCAAATGCCATAGATTACTTTTATCCATGTTTGAACTTTATAATAATAGGTGCAAACAGTTCTGTGCTTGTTTATTTCTTTATCTTTGCATCTTGGAGCATCCCACTTTCTTGTGATCATTGGAGTCAATTATTCCTTTAGTCTGGTAACTTCTTTCTTTTCATCTTACTACAAAATTTACCATATGACATCTTAGTTCGAGTTTTAGTGAAGACAGACTGTCATCTAATCCCCTATTGTAGGATCAAAAACCTCTGATGCCACTTTTCCTAGTGTTAAGGTAATGGGAAAGCACAAATACCCCAAGCTGACTTGCTAGATACTCTTCCCTACATATTTTTCCATCACAGATTTTTTCAAGCATCATGGTATCTTTACATGGCTCAAGTGGAACAGTTACTTAGAATGTAACAAATCTATTTTAGAACACTTTCTTGCACTAGGTCCTACTGAAAAGTAACAGTTTTCATGTGAACTTTTGATTTCAAACCTGAAAAGACCCACTGTATTGTCAGTCTTTCTTAGTGGTAGAAGATGTATGTCTCTCCAAAAGATCTAGAGAATTTACTATCTTGTTCCTAAGATGAAATTCATATGATGTCATCATACAATGAAGAATATGATGTTAATTACTGTCACTGGAGAGTGACTGCATAAGCAACATATTTGCCTTTTTATCTAGCTTTATATTCTATCCTCTCTGATCAAGCTTGTAGTAGACTAAAGAATGGTTTCTAAATAGGCTCATGTCATAATCCTCAGAACTTGTGAATATTAATATATGGCAAAAGGGTCTTCTCAGATATAATTAATTTAGAATCTTGGACTGGGGATATCACCCTGGATTATCCATATGGACCTGATTTAATCACAGAGGTCCTTACAAAAAAAATACAAGAGGAGTTAGAGTCAGAAGAAAAGATGATATGAGGATGAAAGTGTCTACCCTGGCGTCAGATGCTCTGAAGAGGAAGGGAGTCGATGCAAGCCAGGTAAGGTAGGCAGTCCTCAGAAGCTGAAAAAGAATGGAGATAGATTATCTCTTCAGAGCCTCATAAAGAAATCAGCCCTAGGGCCGAGGGTGTAGCTCAATGGTAGAGCAACTTGCCTAGTAACTGTGAGACATGGGTTTGATCTACAGCACCAATCAATCAATCAATCAATCAATCAATAAATGTATTGTTTCCATCTGCAACTAAAAATATACATTAAAAAAGAAATCATCCTCCCTAACACTTTGATTTTAGCCCAATGACACAGATCCGACTTCAGTCATTGTAATAACACAGATTTATATTGTACTCAGACCCTCATTTTGTGCCACTCTCTTGTGCAGCATTGGAATGTAATGCCCAGCTCCTCAGGATCCCAGGCAGACTCTCTCACTTCCTTTCAGCATATATTACTGTATCCTACCTATGTACCAAGTCCTCTAGAATACAATCCCTGTCCTTCCTTAGCAATATTAGTGCTTCTCTAGCTACTTTCTGAAGAGATTTGACTTTTTTTTATTCTGCTGGTGGCCTGAACGGGAAGAGAAGGTAGATCTTTAAAAAAAAAAAAAAGTGGTTTTTAAAGGCATTTCTGTCATTAAGGTTTCTTCATGCTCTTCAAACAATATTAGATTCAGTTTGATTTTACAGGGAAGCTCTGCAGTTGGAGGGCACAATAGTACTCCACCTTCATTGAAAAGATTGCTGACTTTAGCATCTCTGTGTCAATCAGCCATTGTCTGAGGTGTATCCCGTTTGGGAGTGGAAATCTGCTCCTGAGTGAGAAATCTGCCTCCTTCTTGTATGGTAGATGCAATTCTCCAGAGAGTTTCAGTTGTGTGTTATCAAGCAATACTCAGAGTCACTATGGAATGAGTAGATTTTCCCAATAAAGGGGCCCTTGGTGAGCAACATCAGAATCAATACAGTATGTACTTTTGAAGAATATGTTATGTGATAGGATGTATTGGATACAATTATGTCATTTGTAATTTTTATTGACTTTCCATCTGCTGTATTCTAACTAATGTAGTTAATACTTTGTTTCTGTTGTACTTTTAACTATAAAAAGAATGTAATTTTTCCCACTATGACTCATCTTTTTCTAGATCTTTTGGTTTCAATTTTAAGTATATTTTCTTAACTATTATTTTGTGCACACAAATTTATTCTTATGAGACCGCTCCCTTGATCATTATGAAGTGCCCTTCTTCTTTAGTTATGCATTTTATTGTATTTGAGATAGAATTTCATTCCTTTACATGTGAAAGAGTTTGTTGAAATTATATTAGGCAAATCCTTAATTTTTTTACCCACAGGCTTTTGAAGATATATATATAGATCAACGAAAGACTATTAAAATCTTATTGGAGTATGCTGACATGATCTTCACTTACATCTTCATTCTTGAAATGCTTCTAAAGTGGATGGCGTATGGTTTCAAAGCCTATTTTTCCAATGGCTGGTACAAGCTGGACTTCATGGTTGTCATTGTATGTATTTTACAAAAAAAATATTTAAAGGCTGTTTGATTTTCTCCTATTTTTCTCTTTCATATCTCATTCTTTTGCTTCATTATAGCTCCTGTTTCCCTTCTCTGTACATTTTTAGTGGCTCACATGTCATCTTTATTTATCTGCAGTGTTTAACATCTATCCTCATCTTGTCATTCTAAAATTTTAAAAGTTCAGGACTAGGCTCCTGGACTATTGAAATACCTGTGAACCCACTGCTAACAGAATAGGTTTGTTGCACAATATCTTGAAAATACCAGCTTCCTAAGGTCTTTAAATTCTACTGACTTGACTTTTAAATAAATAAATAATGTCCACAATTGAGTAAGTATTATAGCAAGCAACAAGAATTTCTCATTAGGACCACTAAATAAATTCGAAACTTGTGTTTAATGAACAAATGACTCCACATTCTGTAGCAATAGAGAGAGATCTCCTCAATAGGGAACTCCTCAACCTACAATTAATGGCTTGCAATAACTGACCTCTGCCTTTTAAATTAATTTTTACAAATTTATCTTCTACTCTGGTCAAACTGCACTTTAACAAAATCACCTTCCCACTTTCTAGTCATTGTTCTTACATGTCCACACCACTCTTTGCTTATATAAATGACTCCCATGCTTCAAAGTCTAACTCAAGATCATCTTCCCTTTAGTATAAGGAAAAAAATGTTGTTCATTGACTTGAAAATTTAGAAAACATGAAGATATAATAAATTGTAATCATAGCTCTATCACCTTGCTCAATTTTGATTAATATTTCTCAAACATTAATCATTTTTATCTACACATATTTATTTTTAAAATCACTTCAGTACATAGTTATACTTTTTGTAATTTGTACTTTTGACAATAATATTCATACCTTTCTTGAGGCCTGGTTTCTGAAATCTTATTGGGCATATTTTATTAATCATAATTTCACATGGGTGAATATATGAATATATTCCAAATCTTGTTTTAATGCATATATCATATATAAATACTGTGTTGCAAATAATTATAAAATTGATTCTTTAATTTAAATTTTAAAATGTCTTTGTAAATATAATTCTTCATCATAAAGAATATAAGTACATATTATATTAGTGTTGTTATACTCTTTATTACAGAAAAAAATTTTATATTTTTAAGTGATTTTAACAATTATGGTCTTATAACTTGTTCTAAGTCAATAAATAATAACATTTTGAAACATCTGAAAATATTTCAAAGTTTTATTGACAGCTTTGACTATCATTTTATAATAAATATGAAGTTTATTTTCTATGTTATTTCAATTAAGACAGTCATATTAACTCTTTTTAAAACATATTACAGGTGTTTTGTCTTAGCTTATTAGGCAAAACTCGGGAAGATTTAAAACCACTTACTTCCATTAAGTTCCTTCGGGCACTCAGAGTTCTATCTCAATTTGAAAGAATGAAGGTAAATATAAAGTTTCTAGACTGATATATGGGTTTTTATTTGAGATTACTAAATTTCTGTGAATAAACAAGATTTGTTGTCTTTTCATCAATTTCAATATAACAAAAACTTATAGCCTATAGCATGAAAATAGAGGGGAATGTATATATTGGTTATGTTTATTGAGATTTTAGGTCCTTATTGCTCATAAGATATGAAAACTAATAAAGCTGAGCGAAAAGACCATAATAATCGACAGGGAAAATATAGTTTCTTTTTTTCTTTTTTTTTATTGTTGGTAATTCAAAACATTACACAGTTCTTAATACATCATATTTCACAGTTTGGTTCAAGCGGGTTATGAACTCCCAACTTTACCCCGTATACAGATTGCTATATCACATCAGTTACCCTTCCATTGATTGACATATTGCCTTTCTAGTGTCTGATGTATTCTGCTGTCTGTCCTATTCTCTACTATCCCCCCTCCCCTCCCCTCTCCTCCCCTTTTCTCTCTCTACCCCTTCTACTGTAAATCATTTCTTCCATATATATTATCTTGTCTTACCCCTCCTTTCCTCTTATATATCATTTTGTATAACCCTGAGGATCGCCTTCCATTTCCTTGCGATTTCCCTTCTCACTCCCTTTCCCTCCCACCTCTCATCCCTGTTTAATGTAAATCTTCTTCTCAAGCTCTTTGTCCCTACCCTGTCCTTGTTTACTCCCCTTATATCAAAGGGGTCATTTGGTATTTGTTTTTTAAAGAGAAAATATAGTTTCAAAAACAATACCTTTCTAACTCAAATAAATACATGTTAGTGAAGTTGTCTCAATTTTTAAAGACGTAACTGTCAGAAAATGAAATTTTGATAGCTAAATTTTTAATTGTGAAAACATTTTACACACAAAGTTGTTATTTACTAAATGAGAGGAAAGTTTGAATTCTAAAGTAATTAACTTTTTAAAAATCAGACATCACAAATTATTAATTTTTGCTTACATCCTCCCCTACTACCATGTTAAAGACTTTTCTAACCCATATGGAAAGAACAGATAGATTCATTCATATAAAATGTCCAAGGTTTCATCTTTTGCACCTGTAATAGAATTCCCATATGATTAAAACTAAAAGAAACAATGGAGTCTATGGTCACCATGAACAGTAATCATATGAATGCAGATAAACAGTGGTCAGTTGTGGGCAGAAATGAAAGGAAAAGTCCAATTGTACCTTTTGTTACATATGCATGTATATGTGCATTTTACATTTTTATTTATGTAGATTATTTAACATTAGTCTCAGTATTTAATTAAAAATACCCAATATTACATCTTCAATTCTATGATACGACTGAATAAAAAACCTATTTATGTTTAAGCTGCATTATCTTTGTAATTTATATACTTTATCTTAACATATTATCATTGATTAAGAAACCATAACACTTAAAATCTTTCTGCTTGATCAAAAAGCATTTTTACATCAAAATAGAAGTGAGAAATTCAAATAGAAATATATGTTATTTAAAATATCATAAAATTTAATACTAACACCTTTTTATAGGTATACATATATACACATATATAAATCACAAGCACATTTATTATACATTGTGTATATTTTTGGGTGGTTCTGGGGATTGAATTCGGAGCCTATCACATGCAATGAAATGCCTTACCACTAAGTTACACCCATAGTCCACATTAATTATAGTTTAATATATATGCTAATATGATATTATTTTTATAATTCATGTGACTCTTTGGTTGACTCATTATAACAGGACTTAGGTTTGATCTATCTATTTCTCAAATGTATTTTATTTATTGGAGTTGGGAAAGAAACAGTTTATGTATCAAATACAGAAAAATTCTAAATATTATATAACTATATCACAAAAATCTATAATAGTATTTGTAGTTGATAACTATAAAACAGATTTTATTAACCACATCATGGAACTTTGCAATATGGTGATATTTACCTGTGATTCTAAACCAAATTGTGGAAAATTAGCTGAATTATGTAATTATAATAGATTACATATGTAATTAGAATTTTAAAAATTTTACATTTCTGATCTAAAGTTTACATGTTCATTTTTTTATATGCTAGGTGGTTGTGAGAGGTTTGATAAAAACAATTTTACCCACTCTGAACGTGTTTCTGGTCTGCCTTATGATCTGGCTGATATTTAGTATCATGGGAGTACACTTATTTTCTGGCACATTCTATGAATGCATTGACCCAACAAGTGAGGAAAGATTTCCTGTATCTGAAGTCGTGAATCGGAGTCAGTGTGAAAACCTTGTGTTGAATGAATCCATGCCATGGGAGAATGCAAAACTGAATTTTGATAATGTTGGAAATGGTTTCCTCTCTTTGCTTCAAGTAGTAAGTACCCTTTTGGACTTTCTTTTTTTTTTTTTTTTTATCAATTATATGTTCATCTGCCGAAGTCTGGCTGGGCACAAAATAACTGAGCCACCACAAAAGCCTTGTAGATTCAAACAGCAACTCTTTATTCCCAAACTCTCACAGACACTCTACCCACACTTCCCGGGAACACACTGCCTCTACCAGGCTCTGAGCGCCAATTCTCTCAGAACCCCGCAAGAACTTCATGGGAACTCCAAAGGAGCCGGCACCTGAGGCAGCAGGATATGCCCTAATCCCAGCAGGATCCGCCCTAATCCTGGAGCCGCCCTATTCCCAGCAGGATCCACCCTAACCGCCCCCCTCAGCCAGACTAATCCCTGAGCAGGGTCCCCTTTCAACCCAAAATGCCATGCATCATTCCTACTTGGCTATGGCTCTCAGCATTCATCCACATTGTAAGTTGAATGTCAAGGACAAGATATGAATTATTAATACATTTGGTTATAAGATATTTTATCAATTACTATTTAAGGCAGAAATTTTATAAGATATATTATAATTTGGAGTTACAGAGGTGACAATTGTTTGCCCTATTGGAAGGAAGAAGTGAAGAGAACAGAAATAGCAGGTATTGGCCAAACCTGCTTCTACCATCACTGACCCTGTGGTCACATGACCTCAATTCCTTGGTCCTACTTGAGTTGCCGTTAGTATTATTCTATTTGGTGCTTTCAAAAATGGCTACTAAGGAAACCCAGTATCTAGCAGACGTTAAATGGCAGACATTCCTTTCTTATTTATCTCACAGAAAATCACATCTATAACAGCTATCAGTAATTCTGGCATTTGCCAGCATGCACTTCTTTACCATCCATTTCCCTATTTTTCTTTTTTTTAATATAAACTATTTTAAAATATTGTATTATTAGTTATAAATAGACTAAGTAAAATAACTGACAAATAATATATTAATTAAAAAGCTAAATACCTCAGTTATCCAGTATGTTGAAGTATGGCAAGTTTTAGTATCAAATGCTTTAAAGTTTTAATAGCAAATTGAGTTGTACTTTTTATTTGCCATGAAACATAGATTTCCCTAAGAACTAAATATATATTATTTTTTATAGGCAACATTTAATGGATGGATCACTATTATGAATTCAGCAATTGATTCTGTTGGTGTAAGTACCATATAATCTTAAAGGCATTATTAAGATTCAAGCAAAGTCATTTTTGTGACTCAAGCACAAGAGACAGGTGATAATTTATAAAAATTAAATATTTTCAAGTTGGATATTTCATGGGCAATGAAATCCTTCTAGAAATATATGTAATGATTGAATCCCAACAGGCCCACTTGAGGAATTACCATATTTTGTAACAATAATTAAGTAAATTATTGTTATTCAAGGTAATGTTTTCTCTTTAGAAAACATTAAAAACATAAACTTTAGAGTTTAAATAAGCAAAACAATAGCATTCTTTTTACCAGAGAGTAAACAGAAAACATTACCTTGAATAACATTGTTAGACTTACTTATCCTAGATTGTTTTATGAATCTTAGGTTTACATAAATTATCACCAATATTTTACTAATTTTTAAAAATTCAATTTTAGGTTAACATGCAGCCTGATTTTGAGTACAACCTCTACATCTATTATTACTTTATCAGCTTCATTATCCTTGGATTATTTCTTCCTCTGAGTATGCTGATCAGTGTTATTATTACTAATTTCAACAAGCATAAAATAAAGATAAGTATAATAGTCCTTTTTTGTTCATCAATGACTGAAAAAACAAACACATTTATAAAAATGCCAATTCACATAGCTCAATGTCATTTTTTAAATTTTAAAAATTTTTAGTTGTAGATGGACACAATATCTTTATTTATTTTCTTTATATTTATGTGGTTCTGAGGATGGAACCCAGTGCCTCCCACATGCTAGGAAAGTATTCTGCCACTGAGCTATAACCCCAGTCCTCGATGTCATTTTTATTTGGTACAAATGCAATAAAATAATGATTGTTGTTCTTGCATATTGTTGCCCATTGCTGTAATGTTCTTTCTTATATTGCTTTCAGTATTTAATATATACACAGCCAGATTAAAAGTTAAAAATTAGGGCTAGAGCTATAGAGTGGTACAGCACTTGCCTAGCATGTGTGAGGCACTGGGTTTGAACCTCAGAATCACATAAAAATAAACAAATAAAGCCATTCTGTCTAGCTACAACTACAAAAAAAATTAAGTTAAAAATTCCCTGTATTTTTATATGTATATTTTATAAATAATGATGTGCTGGAAAATGAATATTAATATTATGTATCTGCTCAAATATATGAAGTATACACCAATATACTCAATGACCTCCTAAGTAGGAGTAATCAAACCCAGGAATAGAGAATTCAGACAGAATTGAACAACCACTTGTGTGCACAAAGACTCCCTTCAGGGCTGCCACAAAAGTAAAGACCTCAAAAGACATGTGAGTCCATATAGATGCCCTACTAGGGGCCCTACTGTCAAAAAGCCTTTCAAAAACATCAAAAGAAAAAAAATGGTTTAATTTGGAATTTCATCTTCAGCTGTGTCATCAAACTAAATCACGTGCAAAATCTGGTATAACATTTTGAGTCTCTGCTAATCAGATGGTAATAGAGAGTTCAGTGATCAAACACAGTTCTGATTGGGTGCTTCAGCTTCCTGGCCACTTCCAGCTGTGGGCAACTTCCCATGCTTTGCTTCTGTACTACCTGTTGTTGATTCCTGTCAGTGTTAAGTGACCAGGTTCTATTTTAGGGCATTAATAGTTCCTAATTCCTATATTATCATAAAATTATATGCACTAGAAACACAAAAACAATTCAGCCGTAGGCGGTGCTATGAAGTCAGCCACAAGGTACTTTTGGAATAATAATAAAAATATTTTCTGATAGTGTCTATAAAGCAAAGCAACATAGAATATATGAAAATATATATTTGACCAATTTTCTTCATCCCTGCATATTAAAGGGCACAATAAGCTTTACTTTTATCTTCTGAGTTCAGCCATCCTTAGTAAACCTTCTGAAAAGAGAAAGGGCCGCAAAAGACTGGAAGGAGAAAAATAGGGTTAGCTGCACACAGGAAATAAAAAAAAAAAAGGTTTTTCAATATCACTCATTGCCAGTATTACAGGTTTTGTCTGTATTTTTATGCAAAGTTGAAAATGTTCAAACATGATTTAGTTTCTTACATTTAAGCTTTTTGCAAAAGTTAGATCAATAATTCTCAAATTTTCTATAAGGGAAAATTTGGATTATATGGCATTTTAACATCTTTTTCTTTCATTTCTTTACCAAGGAGGCTCAAATATCTTTATAACAGTAAAACAGAGGAAACAGTACCGTAAACTGAAGAGGCTGATGTATGAAGACTCCCCTAGACCACTACCTCGCCCAAGAGTAAGAAGAAGTCTAGATCTTTTTTTGAAGCTTTAAAGAGATTGACTTTATTTTAATGAAAGTGTGCTTCCAAAATTCTTAACAAATTATTTTGACAATAATGTAAAATATTTGACAAAACTTTTAAGGACCATTTTTTTTTTTTTTTGTATGTGCATTGTTTTGACTATACACTGTCGTTACAGTTTGGCAAAAATTTAGACTCACTTATTTTCCTAATTATTTTAGGAGGAAAGCTGTAGAATCTAAAAATTATGTGCATGAATATTTATCCTACTAATAAAAATATTAAAGTTTTTTTCTTTATTCACAGAATAAGTTCCAAGGCTTTGTCTTTGACTTGGTAACAAATCAAGTTTTTAATATCATCATCATGGTTCTTATCCATGTTCAAGCAGTAACCATTATGATCCAAAGTGATGAACAGAGTCAACAAATGGATATTGCTGTCTACTGGATCAATGCAATTTTTGTTATATTGTATACTCTAGAATGTATACTGAAGCTCATCTCTTTCCATTGTTACTATTTCACAATCATATGGAACGTTTTCGATTTTGTGGTGGTAATCTTCTCCATTACAGGTAAGATTTGCTTTGTCACAATTTCATTTGTAGTAATATCAATTCAAGAAAACTCTCATAAAAAATTTCTCTAGTATTTTAAGAAGCAAAAGAGGTAGGAACTTTTTTACTCACAACATAAAATTTTTCAATTTTTGCATTCATACATACTCACATGCCTGACAGATAATATTTGAAAATACAATTCTTGAACCAATGACATAGATTTCATATCACAAACCACTAGATAAATGCTGGTTTATACATTCAGATAAAACATGCATTCATTTTCTAGATAACACTGTAAGGATCTTTATGTGTTAGAATGCCATGATTTGTCAAACTCACTGTTATTCTGTTTCCTCTAATAGTGAAAAAAACAAAAAAAAACTATTTACAACTTTTACATATGAGAATTTTAGGTTTAAATTAATTGTTTGCTGGTTTTCTATTACTTTGGAGATCTCAATTATTTAACATTTTTAAAATTATTATTTTGTGAATAGACATCATGCTACATGGAAGAGTACAGTGATCAATGAGATAGACATAATTTCTGCATGCACACAGTTTATAGTCTATTAAAGGTTACAAATAATTGAATAGTGCATTTAAATGCTGTGCTATTGAAGTTTGTAAAGGAGGTGCAGGGTGCTATAGCAGCATAAGAGGGAGAAGCACCTAACCAGTAAGTAAAGGTCAGAGAAAAATATAAAATTCAAATAGAAACCTATGGATGTGCTTCAGGCAGAAAGAAGTTTCTTTGTCTACTGCTCCATGACACACTCACCAGAATGTAACTCCATGAGAGTGGAGACAATATTGAAGGGTTCATTGTGTCAAGCACTGCTCTATGTAGTTGTTATTGGAAAATGTAGATAAATAATTTGCCCAATTGTATTTTCAGAAATTCAGTCAATAAGTGAATTAATGCAACCAGTTATTCAGAGAAAAGTATAAAAAAAACTTGATAGAAGAGTACATAAAGACAGGAGGGAGGTAACGGGAAGAAAACAGGTGAATTACAGAACTAAAGCAGTCTCTGAGATTGAAGTGGAAATTATTAATCAGAAAACTAGGGTTGGGGAGGGCTATAATAGTATAGCCAAAAGAAAACTGAATTTGAGATTTCAAGGTTGTCAGGTATCCTGGGTCAAGAATGGGGTTATACATATGGACTATTGAAATTAAATGATTAAAAAAACTATAAAAGTTTGAAAGGTTGGAAACCTAGAGATAGGCCTTTGAATGGGCTGTGAGTAGAAGATTCTGGGGTGAAACAGAAGTGACCCAATTCCTGAAGTCTTTAATGAATATAAATGTGGTGCAATGAGTAGATTGCAGAGCCAAAGAATGATAGAAATGGTATAGTTGAATGGTGGTAGGATCCACAGAGTTTCAGAACTTTATTCTATTTTTTTAATTAAAAACATAGTGGTAAAGAGAAGTGTCTGGAAATCTCACTGAGAAGATAGAAAAAAATGCTATTCCATCTTTCTTCCCTGAGAAACATGGAATTGGGGATGGAGGGTGATGAGCTTTATGCACTTGAAATTAGTGCCTGGAAATAATGTCAACAGGATGAATTCAGATTTTAGAAAAGAAAAAGTTTTAAAATTTAGTAGTGAGGATGTGAAGACAATTTGTTTAAAATTAAATGAGGATACTTCCTACATAAAATGAGTTTGGCAGATTAAGGAGAAATGAGAGCTTGAGTCATAGTGGTAGATTCTCTAAAGCACTGCAGAGAGAGGAGGGAATGGTTGGAAGAATGTCTCCTGAGTCCATGAGCAAGTTTAACAGCAGTATGAGGCAGGATTCTTCCTGTCAGCAAGCATAATATCTCATTTACAAACTGTACAGGATTCTCGCCTCCACCACCTTCTTGACACAAAGCAAACCATCCCTAAGGGCCAGGGAAAGCTTTCTATATTCAGTTCACATGTAAACTCCTGGGACTCAAACACTCTTTATGGAGAAAACAAATTACAATCTGTACATCACTGAATTCCAGGCGTTTCTGTAATTATATTTATCAACTAGGTCTTTCTAACTTGCATTGTAATAATTTTAAATGTCTACAACTGGTAACAGATTATAGAGTGTTCGAGAATAGAAATCATGTCCTTCATCTTTGCATATCTGCATGATGCCTTTATTAGCATTCAGTGCAGATTGGATTGAACAAACTTTCTTGATACAGAAATTATCAGGGCTGGGGATGTGGCTCAAGCGGTAGCGCGCTCGCCTGGCATGCGTGCGGCCCGAGTTCGATCCTCAGCACCATGTACAAAGATATTGTGTCCGCCGAAAATTAAAAAAAAAATAAATATTAAAAAAAAAAGAAATTATCAGAAAAATACAGCTGATGTTCTTTATTATGAATCCAAATCATCTGTGATTCTAGAAAGACTGGATCTGGTGGGGGGATGAACGGGAGAAATGGAGAAACTTTGATTAGGGCAAAGGGGAGGGGGCATAGCGGTAGGAAAGATGGTGGAATGAGATGGACATCATTACCCTAGGTACATGTATGAATACACAAATGGTGTGATTCTACTTCGTGTACAACCAGAGAAATGAAAAATTGCATTTCATATTTGTCCTATGAACTGAAATGCATTCTGCTGTCATATATAACAAATTAAAACAAATAAATAATTTTTTTTAAAAAGACTTGATCCATAAAATTCTTAAGATGATAATTCACAAGAATTCTCTTCCAAATTTTCCTAGGTACCCTTATCATTAGCACCATTAATATTTGACTAATCCAAACTTTTAATATACTGTTAAATGTGAAGGACTAAGAAAGGATTAACCAAATACAGGAAAAAGCAAGTAAGAGTAAAATAATTTAAGTTTCTCTAAATACAATTGTATTTGAACAGTTTTATTTCCTCTTTCTTTTCCCGCACCTAGGGCTGTTTCTGCCTATGACAATAGGATACTACCTTGTGCCTCCTTCACTTGTACAACTGATCCTTCTCTCTCGGATCATCCACGTCCTGCGTCTTGGGAAAGGACCAAGGGTGTTCCATAATCTGATGCTTCCTTTGATGCTGTCCCTCCCAGCATTGTTGAACATTGGTCTTTTCATCTTCCTGGTCATGTTCATCTATGCGATCTTTGGAATGTACAATTTTGCTTATGTGAAAAAAGAAGCTGGAATTAATGATGTGTCCAACTTTGAAACCTTTGGCAGCAGTATGCTCTGTCTTTTTCAAGTTACAATATTTGCTGGTTGGGATGGTATGCTCAATGCAATTTTCAACAGTAAATGGTCTGACTGTGATCCTGATAAAATTAACCCTGGGACTCAGGTTAGAGGAGATTGTGGTAACCCTTCTGTGGGGATTTTCTATTTTGTCAGTTATATCCTCATATCATGGTTGGTCATTGTTAATATGTATATTGTTGTGGTTATGGAGTTTTTAAGTATTGTTTCTAAGAAAAAATCCAGGACCTTGAGTGAAGATGATTTTAGGAAATTTTTTCAGGTATGGAAAAGGTTTGACCCTGATAGGACACAGTACATAGACTCTAGTCAACTTTCAGACTTTGCAGCTGCTCTTGATCCTCCTCTTTTCATGGCAAAACCAAACAAGGGCCAGCTCATTGCTATGGATCTTCCCATGGCTGTTGGAGACAGAATCCACTGCCTTGACATCTTACTTGCTTTTACTAAAAGAGTTATGGGAAAAGATGCAAGGGTGGAAAAACTCCTCTCTGAGGTAGAATCAGGGTTTGTATTAGCCAACCCTTTTAAAATCACATATGAACCAATTACAACTACTCTAAAACGAAAACAAGAGGCAGTTTCAGCCACCATTATTCAGCGTGCTTATAAAAGTTACCGCTTGAGGCAAAATGACAAAAATACTTCAGATATTCATATAATAGATGGTGACAGAGATGTTCAAGCTACAAAAGAAGGTGTCTATTTTGACAAAGCTAAGGAAAAATCAACTATTCAAAGCCAGATCTAATCCCTACTTATCACCTCTTTACTTTCTTCATATATCCCCCAAATGCTAAAAGCTTAAGAAATTAAAACAATGATCAGAGAGAGTGAAGCTATCAATTGTTTACACCTGGTATGTGTTAAGCTTCTGTTCACAAGTCTTCATGCCAAACTCACTTTTCACCTCTGTTCAGTCTAACCAATCTATCAAGAAAGACAGTCCTTAAATATTGCTGCAGTTAAAGTAAGTGACCTTTTGACAATCCAGTGTTTTGCCTGCATGGCTCATTAGATGTAGTGCCCACGATAGAGGACGGATGCAGGTGGTGGTAAAGATTACCAGCCAAATAGGTGTCCTTATGTATTTTACATCTGCTTTAATGGGCTTCTAGTTGCCACTACTATGACTTAATTACAGGTAAAGAAGGGCTCTCTTAATATAAGCTTTCTTTTTTATTTGATAAGTTAGATTGGCAATTTTTATGGTATCACAAAAAAATAACCTTACACAAAACTAGTGAAATCCTACAGAGCATTATATCATCAACTTGCTTAAACCAATGCCAGTTGGATCAAGGGAGGGTGCAGTTGTTTATTAGGAAGTGCCTTTGAGATCAATCCCAGAGACTCTCAAGCTGATTAGAACCATTTTTTTGTGAAAGATTGGTTGAAGCCCCCCTACCTTCTGTTTTTGTTTGTTCTTTTTTTTTCTTTTCTTTATTTCTTCCCACCTCTTCCCTCCACCCCACTGGTAATGGGAATTAATTAATGGGAATTATTGTTCTTGGTTCCTGGTTTCTTATCTTTTCCTCTAGTTCTATCTAAGCTCCAGTTCTTCAGCAGGATGAATTCATAAACAGAAAAACATCCATCCATGAAACTGCCATTATGGCCTACATTTTCCTCTCACTTCTTTTAGAGTATACATTTACTAAAATGATACCATAAATAATACATTAGTGGACCCAACTCTATCTTATTATAAATCTAATTTTTTCCCATTTATCCTAGTGTAACATTAAGTATGTATAACTTGGCAAATGCATGTTATAATATCGATTAGAAGAGCTGAAACCTACCAGTATGTGTAGTGATTTTCACAGTGTCTTGATCTTCCTTGGAAAACTAGCCACTCCAAAGTGCTTTTCACTTTACATAGGTCCTCATAGCTTAAAGAAAGGAAATGAGCATTCGAACTCTGGGGGCTGTGAATTGGGAGATGAGAATGGAAGTCATCCTTTGATAGCATTAGTATATGCAGATTAAGTTTCACTTACTTATTTCTTTCTAAGCGTTTTAATTTCATCATATACAAAAGTAATTTATAAATTGTTTATATTTCAGAAACTTTAAAATTTGAAATGTTAGTTTTCACCACTGAAATTATTCTTAAAGTTAGAAAGATTTGTTTTGGGAGTTATTCATAAAAAAGTAGTCATTTATATCCATGTAGTTCAAGAATCTGGTACTTACTCCATTTGTATGAAAACTAATTTCAATGTGCCTACAAAGTCCTAAAGGATTCAAAAGAAAAACCTGCATACTGTTGACTTAAATAACAAGCTTTAAAAAGATAGTATGACATTGCCTATTATTTACATATTGGTAATTGTATTTTTATTATAAATGCATGATCTTGAGCCTTAACAATTATATTTCTGCTCCTCAAAAATTTAATAACCTTACCAAGATGCCTTTGAGGGACCCCTAAGTAAATGTAATTTCAGGGTTCAATTTTTTTCTATACATATTCCTTCCCTTTCTCCTCTTGCTCTCCATCATGAGATGGGGACCAGAGAGCAAACAGTGTTGACTTACAACATGGTGATAGCTGGTGCTTTACCAAGGCTTCTTGCTTTCCATTTCTTGAGATGCTTTAGTATGGAAACCGCTCAGAGATTGACACTGTAATATAACTTGCTTCTATAAATTCAACAAAGACAAAAAAACTGATTTAAGTCTGAAAATTATTACTTTTACTTGTAAATTGTGTTTGCCACTAACCTTCCAAAAACTGTGTAAAGGTTTATTTTTAACAAAATATTACAATATATTCTACTTTTTAGAAACTATAGAAAATAATAAAGACAATCTGTTAATGACAGTAAAATTTGTTTGTTTTTCTTTTTTATTGGATAAGTCACGTTGGTGATTTTTATGGTAACATAAAAAAATTTACTCAAAAATTTTTTTTTCAGTCTCAAAATTTAAGATTAGAAACACTTAGGTTTCTTTACCACACTTATTTTTTATAAAGTAAATGTTAATACACTTACCAGAGCCCCTATACATTGACGAAATGTAAAAAACAATTCTCTTACCAAAATCATAACTGCAATATTACAAACTAGAGCTCAAAATCGTTAAAATTCACTTAACCGAAAATAATACCAAATTAAATTTATTGGTGTGCTACTACTTATCAATTTCTGTTTCTTCAAAACATTTTATTTCTTTTTTATTAATAAATACAATACATTCAACACAGTTTTAGACAATGGTGATAGCTACCATGTATTCAGCTGGTAGCTATATCCAGCCTTGTGCTAAGCATTTTTCATGAATGAAGAGGTGACCACTCTCAGTTTGTAAATCAAAAACAATAGGCTTAGAAAGGTTATAGGTTACAAAAGCTCTAATAGGACACAAAACTTGTAAGGGACATGGCTGGGACACAAAATCAAGTTTAGTTTCAGAACTTAATGGACGGCCTCTCTCTCTCCTCTTCTCCCCTGACACCTCCTACACCAACCCCTTTTGGCCAAGGGAATTTTAAATGTAGACAATTCTGTTAGAGTCTATAAACAAGTCTGGATGGCGCCTGGCATTTTGCCAGGGGGAGTGGTTTGTGAGGTGGCACCTGCGAGCCATGAAGTGTGGAGATTTCTTATTTCTTATGGAATGTATAAATACCTCTGTTGTTCTACAATAAAGGGCTCCCACTCCTGCTGTATCAATCTACACAAGTTGCTTGTCATCACACCCCCCTCCCCCCCACCCCTGGTTATTTTGCTGCAGCCGGACTGCGGCACAGTTCCTAGAAGAAGAGAAGCACAAAGGATAAAATTACAGAAGTTTTTTCATTCAGCCTATATTAAATCTAAATGCTAAATGCACACTTAGAGCTTACTCGCATAAAAAGATAAGAGACTAAACAGCTTACTGTCGTCTATAGTTATAATTTATGGTAATTTTTATACTATTGGTCTGAATTGCAATACATATACATGAAGAAATGTTGAGTACTACATTGGAAATTGGAGATAAAGTTAGTAAAGTGGGCCCCTAGAGGAAAAAAGATTTTTCTCAATTAGTGAGGATTAGCTTCGTTTCATACTGAGGGACCTTTAAGAAGAGTCCACCCATGGAGATGACACATGGGATTATGGCTCAGAGCTCTTCCTACTGGAAGATATAGGAAGGAGCAAATAAAGGAGAGCATGAACCTTGCACCTCAGAGATTATCAAAAAAATAAAAGTTTGAGCAGAATTACTCTGTGTGCCCTGAATTCCTTCACAGACGTACTTAATTTTCCCTTTGGTTCCTGAAGTCTCTCCTTTCTCAGGTGGGTCTACATTCTCAACTATATGGTAAATAATAAACTTCATCAAATAACTAACTGTTACAACCACAAACAGGGATTTTTTTCACCTTTGTTAGGTAAACCAAAACTTTCAGGGTCAGACACTTACTCGTATTCCTTATCTGGATGCAAACTTTTATCTTTGTTAACTCAAAAATCACATCATAGCTCACAGAATTTTCTCTCAACTCCAGTCCTAGTTTCCAATTAACTATCCAGTTGGCTCACCCCCACTGTGTTGATCAATGCTAGTCTAGGCTAGGTGAAAGTCAGTAAGTTCAAATTATCTGTAAGTTCAGAGTTCAAGTTCTTGCAAAATTCCATAAGTATCTTTCCTTACTTTCTCTCCCCCTTTCTTCCTTTAGTAAAAATATTTTGAGTACCTCCTAGATATTCAGCACATTAATTCACAGATGAATGAAATTGTCCTTTTCCTTAAAAAGTCCTTTCTTAGTTTGATAGATAAAACATATTGGAACTATTTGTTCGATTCCTTACTATAATGGAAACCCTCAAGAGGATGTCGTGAAAAGTCTTACTGAACTTCACAAGAAAGCTGGAACTTGAGCAAAGTTCCATAATGGATGGGATGTGTTCAGGGGACACAATGAAGTTGAATTTCAATCCCAAGTTGAAACACTAGCGAATATTGAGGTTTAAAAAACTGTTAATAAAAATCATGTCTCTCTTCTTGTATGTTCATGCGAAAAGCACTCAGTATCAAGTGAGGGTAACCCTAGCAGTTAGGGTATTCTTATGAGGGAAAGAAAGTTGAAATCTCAAGAACATTACGGTTCAGATAACCCAAAAGAATATTAAGTGTGTTCTCTCAGCTACCAACCACAATTTATATTACATGTTAGAAAGCCCATATTGGCAGTCAACTATTTTTTAAAATATTTTTGAGGAATAATTTATATTACCAACAAAATTCTCTTTGTAAGGTGCATAATTAAATGATTTTAAAAATATTAACAAGAATGCATCTCCCTAATCTACACTTAGAATATTTTCATCACTGTTGACAGTCAATCCTAATTCCACCCTGTCCCCAACCCTGGGCAATCACTAATTTACTTTATTTCTATAGATTTACCTATCAATAAATGACTTATATGTGTGGAATCATATAATATGTGATTTTTTGTGACTAGCTGATTTCATTTAGCATAATGTTTCAAACTTTACTTATGTCGAAGCCAATATTTCATTCTTTTTTACTGTTGAATAATATTATACTGTATAGTTATAGTGTACATTACTTTGTTTGTTCATTCATTGCTCAGTGGGTATCTGGGTGATTTCCACATGGTAGCTATGATGAATAATACTGCTATGAACATTACAGCACAAGTTTTGTGTAAAATTATGTTTTCCAATCTCCTTATTATATACCTAAAAGTGGAACTGGTAGCACTGCATTAAATTATTTGAAAAATTTCTGTTCTGTTTGTAAAAGTGGCTGCACCATCTTACATTACTAGAAGAAATTATGAAGGTTCTAATTTTCCCCATACTTGCCAACACTTGAAATCTGTATTTTGTTTATAGCCATGCTATGAATATGCAGTGATGTCTCACTATAGTTTTGTTTGCATATCCCTAGTGGCTAATGGTCTTGACCACATTTTCATGTTTCCTATGCATCTGCATATCTTCTTTGGAGAAATATTTACACAAATCCTTTGCCCATTTTTAGTTTAGATTTTATCTGTCATTGTTTCTCATAAAATATATACATATCAGATGTCAGATTTCCAAATATTTCCCCATGATATGAGTTGTGTTTTCTCTTTCTTGTGTCTTTTAATATGCAAATTTTTAAATTTTGATGAAGTCCAACTTTTGCTTGTGATTTTAGTATTTTATTTAAGACACTATTGCCTAATCCAAGTTCACAATTATTTAGTCTTCTTTTCCTCTAAAGAGTGTAATAATTTTAGTCATTACATTGAAGTTTATGCTTTCCATTTATTTTTTGGCATGTAAGGGTTTAGGAGAGAGTCTAAGATTAAGCTTTTGTATGTGGCTACCCAGTGATCCTGGCATTATATGTTGAAGTGCATTTGTTCCTCATTAAGTTGTCTTGGCATTCTTTTTGAAATTCTGTTGACCATAAATGTAGGGTTTATTTTTGAACTTTCTAGTCCCTTGACTTCAATGCAAATATCAAATTGTGTTGATTACAGAAGCTGTGTAATAGGTTGAGAAACAAGGAAATTTGTGTCCTCCAGCCTTAGTCTCCTACTTTCAAGATGATTTAGGCTATTCTATGGCTCTCATGTATCTACAGCAAATTATGATCTGCTTGTTAATTTCTGCAAAAAGGTAAACTGGAATTTTGATAAGAATCACATTGAATTTAAAGATCATTTGGGGATTATTGCAACATTAGCAATATTGAATCTTCTGGTCCATTCATATAGAATACATTTCACTTTTATTTAGAGGCTTATCAATTTTATTGACTTTTTAAAGAAACAGCTTTTAGTTTCATTGGTTTCCCCTATTGTTTCTTTTTTTCCAATTTTATTGATTTCTGCTAATATATTTCCTTTTTACTCTTAGTTTTATATTTTTTAAATTTTCTATTTCTTTGACGTGAAGAATTAGATTATTCACTTGAGACCTTTCTTCATATCTAATGTATTTTAATGCTATAAATTTTCTTAATAACCCTATTTTAGTTGCATCTGACATAGTTTGATATATCACATCTTTATTTTCATTCAGTTCTGTGTATTTTTAATATTTCTTTTAAGGATCTATCTTTTACCCATGAATTTTTGGGGTGTGTTGTTTCATTTCTTAATGTTTAGAAACTTTCCAGTTGTTTTTGGTATTGATTTATATTTTAAATCCATTGTCTCCAAAGAACACCTTATATTCAATTTCAATTATTCTAAGAGTACTAAGGTTTGTTCTATGGCCTAGGATACCAAGTTACATCTTGGTAACTGCTCCGTGGACACATGAAGAAAATGAGTATTCT